ACCATTTCTGTGGGATTATCATGATAGCTAAACCACAAAATATGACAAATGCCTATATTCGTAGACATGATAGTGTTTTCTGGATCATTCTGTACATTTCCCATGTGGATGATTCAACGAACACAACCCTTTTCGTCCCTTCACGCTCTCCGTTTTTCTAGTGCGCATCTGCAATGTCGGCTTCGTTATTTGGACCAATATTCTATCCATAATGGGCCAATTTTTCGTTTTTGGTTTCGTGGTAGACAAGGCCAAGTTATTCAATTTTTTGAGTTTTACATTTTGTCTTGACCGGTACATATACTGCAAACACTGCGACTAACCGAATCGTCAGTATGCTATTACTAAATCACAATAGACTGGATTTTGAAGTTAGATCCATGAGATTTGACATATCTTGTTTTTTAGGGCTCAACAAATAATCTCGCTTTCTAAATACATCTCTTGAAATACCGTCAAGCATCGCGAGAGATGTTGTAAAATGATTATTTACCTCTTCGCTTTTACAAGGAAATTGTATTTTGAAGCTTCTCAAAAATCGCAGAAATCTACATGAATAGATAAGACATGCCATCTGCGTTTCGGTTACTTACTTGTCAAATGTAAAAAAGACTGTGCTGTTTTCCATATCTTTTTTTTATCATTCCCTGGTAACACTCATAAATATTATTGCACATACTCTCAAGGGAAGCATTGTACTTTTCAGTTAATGGTTGCCCCCTTACCACAAGAAAATTCAAAGTAAAGCGATGAAACAACGATTTCAAAGTAGAATATAGTATGCTGATCAACCAATTTTTGATCGCTGGATTCTGTCGCTTTGCTTGCCAAAGGTCTTTATCTTAGTTATCTAGATAAGGAACAAATTATGAGCAATAGGAAACAACAAGTAAGGCGATGAAAATTCTGATTACACTATAGACTACGGTAGGATTGGATACTTGCGAAAAACGTTCTAGAAGATACCGAACAAGTAAATTTTCGTCACCTAGCTATATTTATCAGCATATAAAACAGGACACCAGGTGCGGTATGTATTAATTTCGCCCGATGTTCTTACTGTAGACATGCACCTAATCAAGTACTGGCTCCCGATCAGGAGTTCTAAGGATAGCAGCCAGTTTAGACATACCTCCTCAAAGGGAAGTGAATCATACTAAGCTTGCATCATTTATAAGCGTTGTAGATTCTTTTACCATAACTTCGAGTCATTTGTAACTCAGTGTGTGAATCTACACACTATGCGCGGCAAATGGCGACACCCCTACTTATTAGTAGCTTCTCAGTAAAGTCTTTTTCAGCTTAACAACTGTAGATGTACAACTTACTGATGCATATCCATCAAATGAAGAGACTAGGAAATGAGGAGGATTCAGTGTAGTCTTACAAGTCGTCAAGTAGCACGCATTGTGTGCAATACACATGTTAGAACACAGACTCGACGATATAATTCAGAAGAAAAATATTCGTTTGCACTAACAGTGCTTGTATTTTGGCTTGCTCAATGTTTCTGATTGTGGAGTTCCTAGTAAGCACATATCGAGTGCATAAAAAATCCGTGTTACGCCCTTTTACCCCCGAAAACGTGACCCATGTGCATCTTTTCGAGGGGTGCGAATTTTTTTCGTGCGCCGTTCTGATCAAGCGATGGCTTTGTGCCAGTGATAGATTACTCTATGCGGGTTCGCACCATATTTCGTGTTCACGCCCAGTCGTTTGTCTCAGCGGCTGCCTCGACGCACAGCGTCTTCTCCCCCAGGAGGCCGTGCTGCTGATTCCACCAACAAGAGCTCCATACTGCTGTACCCGTCCCCCATCACTGAATCGAGGGCTGAATAAAACCATTGGTACCATTTTCATCGTAATTTTTAACCATAGTTTTGCGAACTGATCGTCAGCTTGACAAGCCTTGGAAATGCATTTTGGCTCTTTTCTGCCCGTTTTTACGACGTTATAATCCGAGATTTGCTTCCTATACCAGATCATCTTGATCATTGGTATATACATTTCATACCTTTTTTTATAACTTTATTCATTTCACAGTAAAATTCAAATAGCAGTCATCTTTCCTTTCTAACCGTATGTGGCATAGCTTTATTTGGTTCTGAACCATATGATAGCTTGGCATTTCATTTCATTTCCTCCATTTTCATTTCATTTCTTACATTTTCATTTCTTTCATAGGATCACCCTATAACAAGCGCAATAATGTTAAACGTTGGTCTTGAACTTCCAGTACCGGATTATTCTTATCTCTTCGCAGTTATGTTTCAAGAATATCATATTTTGGTGGGAACATTAATTGCGGACATTTTACAATCCCAAAAACAAATCCCAAAGTTTTGAGCTAGAATAGTACAAAACATGGCAAAACTGACATCCAACAAAGATCATCATCTCACGCATTTTTACACTATTCTTTTTTTAGTATAGTTCCCCACCAAATCGTGATTCACTAAATTGTCAAACCGTACAATTGCCGGAATTTTGCGTCACATGTTTGCTTTGATTTATTTTGAAATTTAAATACTTCTTACTTCGTAGTTGGCCTGACTTGGTTCGTACAACGTTTCTTGTTTAGCCATTTTGTTTTTTGTCACTCTGTCTGTTTGACAATCAAAAATAATTTCGTTTAGTTATGGAAACCGGAAGCATCATAGCTCGTGCCGTTTCTCAATAATTATCGCGTAAAAAGTCTGAAAAATAAGTATTTGACAAAGGCTGCCATAAAAATTTTTAATCTGGGGTTTCCTTGAAAATTGAGCAAACTTCTAAGTGTAAATTTATAGAATAGTAAAAGACATTCAATCATTCCAGCTTTCTGGCAAATCATACAGCACTCAAAAGCAAGAGCGATGGCTGCTGAAAAGCTATCGCGGCATGTGGACATGTGGTCAAACTAGGTGCCATTAATATACCGAGTGGAAAGTCTCAAAATGCTGCGGAACTTCCGCTTTCACAAAAGGTAGTGCGTTATTAAGAAATTCGGGAAACGCGAAAGAAAAAAAATGTAAAACACCAAAATAAAAAGACTTTTGGCACGTGGGCGTTACCTTTTCCATTTCACTTGTCTTCCGTCAATATCCCTATTTCCCCTCCTTTCAAAATTTTATTCAAATAAAATCTCTTTCTCTATCTGCAACATAGTGGTGATTGGGGACGACACTATTCATCGTTTCACGATAATTGGAAACATATGCGCTGGCCGTTAGCCAACTTCTTTACGACTTTACATTCTGGAATCTCAGCAGCTCAACTGAAAATCTTGTGACATTTGACGCTCTTCTGCTAAAATATGATCTTTCAACTATTTTACTCTACAATTAGTTGTCAAAAAATTTTCCGCCAATATTGTGACAGTTTTGTCGTGCATCCGCTATACTGTAAACAAACAAGCATAATTTGATAGTATTGAAATCTCAGGTTTGCAAGAATTAACGGAAAATTGATAATTTATCTTGAGAATTAGAGTTTTTCTGAAAGGTTTTCTTAAAACTTATTTATTAGTCGTAATTTTCCTCGCCGTCACATTCAATTCTTCTAAAACTTAATTGAAAACGACGAGCCCTGATCATTGGGCTATTTTTTGAATCGACAATATTCTTACTCAAAACGTGAGCGAATGCAAATATTAATTTACTAAATATACAACTTAGCTTTATCATATAGATTCACTGAAAAATCTATCGCATAGTGGACGCATTTACTATAAAAAGAGTGCCAGCCATTTATGAGTCACTTTGGCACCTGGCTAAAATGCTATATGATTCATTAGTGTACTTGTACCATATCATCTCTAGAGTGAGACATCATTTTAATGACTGTAAAATTGGAACTCGAGCAGATTTTCTGCAAAATTTTGCCGTAAGCTATTCGAAAATCTGTCGCATTATATCGACACCTGCTCATGTAGGGAGAGATGGCGCGAACTTCAAATTCTGTTTTCTAACAATTGAGGTTTTTTTCATTATGTAGCCTTTAGTTCTTATCTTTTCCTACCCTTTGCTGATGGTTCCTTTAGAAAAAAGTACAATTCTTGACACTCAAGTTTCCAGACGACTGCGTTGAGAAGACACCGACAGTGGCGCAGAAGCCACGTTAAGCTAGGCATAATCTTCAGCCATTCATCAAGATTATAGAACCAAGCCCACGAATACTCCTACTACGGGGTCCTGCAGCCGTCTCATCCGAATATACTCTATTTTGGATGAGTTTTTATTAGCTGAAGAGAAGACGCTCCACACAAAAGTGTTCTTTGTGCAGTCAACTGTCATCATTATTCTTCTCCAACACACTCAAAGATCCGATCTTCGAAAAGATCTCTCTTCTGCAGTCTCAGAACGACTGGGGACAGACGATTCTGTTCGATTCTGTTCTCAGCCATGTCTCTCATCCTTCAACCGTTCATGCTTTCGCGATCCCGATTTGTTATCTCTCTCTTTTCATCGATCGATTACCAATGAGATAAGACAGCTGGTTGTCACCAACACACAAAACGCTTCACACCTCATTTCCGTTGTAAATATTACGTAATTCTCTATCTAAACATTTCCCGTTTCACATTCTTCATAATTCCACAAAATACCCACAAAATGCAGCAAAATTTACTATGCCTATGCATGCTACACTTCTCCTTAGCACATCTACCCACTTCACAGAACCCTAATCACCCCCTTAATTTCCTTTTTCTCTCAAATTTTTTTCTTCCAAAAATCTCTGTGTAAATTACGTTTTCAGTGATGTTGTTTCACACGACCCAACACACAACCAATTTCTCTGACAGAGCATTTTCCAACAACTGACATAGCATTGATCGCACAGCGCGCAACTGATCATGTTTTCTCGACCCTTCCTTTCTCTTTTTTTCCACTTCATTCTTAGTCTCACTAATCATTTTGAAGCTTTAGAAATACCCCCAAAAATTTGACTAACCTTCAAACTACTATCCAGAACTCGGTGATTTTAAAATCTAATTTCAGTGATAACTTTTAAGCAGTAAATCAGCCCCAATTTTCTGTAAGAGCATTCTCTGATGATCCATCGAGTCCTTCGTGATTTATCCTGATTATTGACTATTATCCCATCAATCGATTTTTATACTAAGCTATACTGATCCTACCTTGCGACACGACGCCCAGATATTTTTCTTGCACCATTGGACCGAGTCAATTTATTGAATCTTGTGACGACCGTGCCCTGAAAGCTCGTAGCTTTATTTTAGGGTCATGTGACGCATAAAAATTATTTTATGGGACCCATTGCAAAATCTTACGAAGTATTGCCTTAATATTATAGACAAAACACTCAATAATATTTTCTGGTGTAAATTCCGTGCACATTGCTTTAGAAAAACGTAGAAAAACCCTGGATTATTTTTCCGTTCAAATTCGACCATCCTGGTTCTATTTTGGTTGCTTCTAAAGGTTGAGAGAAGAAGATTGCATATTCTCAGGTGGCATTATTAATGGATAAGTTTTCTTTCGCAGATGTTTGAGCCATAGTGATCTGGTCACGTCCAGTATATTTATAGTCAAATACGATGTCAATACTATACAGGGTGTCCCAAAAAGATGTGCACACTGTTTGATTGTAAATAACTTTTTTGTGGTGAAGTGTTTCGAGAAGCTTTAGGTACCATTTTGTAGAGCGAGGTTCAACTTAGATTTACAGTGCAGAGCGGATCGCCGATCTCTCATTCTTACTGTAGGATTACGGTAGAAACTTTGAAGAGGGTTTTGAGCCATGAAAGGCCATATTTTGTTCCAAAAAGAAACCAGAACAACCTGAAAACTCTCACACTGAGCAAACTAGAGTTGCTGTTTCTAAATGTGAAGTTTGCAACTCTTCTTAATGCTTCATTAAAAAATTATGCGAGGTAAGCAGTAGCAGACGTTTTTTAAGTGTTCCTAAAAAGTGCGGTTACACCGTTTAGAAAGCTTTTCAACCTTGTAAAGTGTTGGGTATTAAACTCAGTGTCCACAAAAACCCTATTACACAAATTTCCACATTTTTTTGAAAATTTTTGAAACGGCCCCTTTTTTCACAGTGACACCATATGTTTGAAGTTTCTACCCTACTCCTACAGTAAGAATGAAAGACCGGCGTTTCGCTCTACACTGTAAATCTAAGTTGAACCTCGCTCTACAAAATGGTACCTAAAGCTTCTCGAAACACTTCACTACAAGAGAGTTATTTACAATCAAACATTGTGCACATCTTTTTGGGACACCCTGTATTTTCTGACAAGAGTTGTTTGGGTAGTATTAGTTTCGATCGTCATTATTTCTTGATGTTGTATCTGGATACTTGATCTTCAATTAGAACACTAGCGTTTGAACGCATGCTCATGACATTTATTGTTAAAAGCATTATTGAAGTTTAGTTAATGACATCCAAAAATTTCTGTCCTGATTATGTGCGATAAGTTATGCGCGACATTTTGATTCTCTATACCTTAATCATGAAAGTTCATTAAACCTTTAACAATTGCAAATTGTAACCGCCGACCAGTTAAATCGCATTTTTTAGCTCCTCTTTGCAAACCTCTTCTGAAATGATTTTTTATATCAAATTTGATAAGCTCAAGGGAAGATCTGAACGAGGATAGGGTGTGGCAGCCTGGTCTCCTTCAATGTAATTCAACCCAATCTTTGTCACGTTGTATGACAGTTGATGTGATCGGACAAATTAGATTTGACTATCTTTTATCAAGTCTGACAGCAACAGGAACTCTCAAAACTACCGATGAACTGGACGAAAACTTAGCTCATTAGGGTATATTAGAAATTCAAGAGTTGAATGATTTAGGTCGTCCGTCAAAAAGTGATTTTCTGGATTCTTCTTATTTTTCTCAATTTTTGAACCCAAATCGACCAACCGCAAGTTCTATAATTTTTCTTTTGGCATATCAAACAATATATTTTTTTGGAATAGAATCGTCACCGATTCTGCCTTAAAAATAAAAGTCAACAGCATTTTTTTTTCTCACGCTTCATCAAGCTTCAGTTCGTACCCATGTGATTTACCTTTTGAATTCGATATGTTCGCGCCTTGCACTACCGTATCCCATTTCTATGATCTACGGCATGACTATAGCCTTACATTCGATTCGACCTTAGATCGTAGAAGAAGTGTTGATTTTTAGCAGACCCTTAATCGACCATCGCTCATATTTCAACCGCGACGCTGCCGAGATCGACTAGCTGGAAATGGATATTCCTCGATCGGTAAGCGAGATTTTTTGATAGAATTCGTCAAGAATTACTATAGCTACATAATTCTGTATTTCAAGAGGGAATCACAAGAATATGATCAGCGAACGATGCAACGACCAGCGGATACATCTTCACGAACATCTCCACTAAGTGTGCAGACAAATCCCGTCATGAGCGCGAATTTCAAAGTCAATATGTGGCAAAATCGCCCATTTGATAGTGGTGTACATACAATGACGCATAGCCAGGTAAAAATCTGATTTTTTGACCCCCCTCCCCTTCTAATCTAAAAATTTTTTCTCCCTAAATTAAGGCCCCTTCGATGATGTCGATGACGTCTATCCATGCCGGCTCACAGATCTCCACAATGTCTTCGGTTGTTGACACGGATGTAGCCGAACTCACCGATCAGGTATCGAAAGTCTATGCGCAACGTTTTACCGTAATCCTACCGTATCCAGCAACAACAAAAATTCGAAAACATCTCGCTAGCGCTATGTCCAACACATCCAGAATTTGGCAATGCTGAAGGTGTGATACCAGAACTGCTAAATTTGATGAAGGACAACGACGAGGTAAATGATAGAAACTCCTGGAAAATTTTACGGAAAACCTAAAAGAATTTTTTTGCAGGTTGTTGTATATAGAGCACTGTTCATAATGCAAAATATTGCCAAGTTGGATGCGGACATTTCAAGGACACCAAGCGCGCGAATTCGCGGCAGCGAAGCAGTGATGGCCATTTTGAATGTGCTGCAAGTGCGCAGGAACACTCCGGTAGGCCCTGGTTTCGTGGCTACATAGATTTAAGGACATATGAAACGCTAGCAAGGCTACTTTTTGGACTTGACAAACTGATCAGTGAATAAAAGATGAGAAAAAGAACTTTACAGGCACTATAAACGAAATCTTTTTAGAATATCATCCGAATGGCTTTGGGCACCTTATTTCAAATTTGTATAAGAGCCGATGGCCTCGATGATGTTGCAAATGTAAATGCACAAACTAACGGTGAACTCATTAGAATGCTGATTGAACATGCAAGGTGAACTTAACCTCTATTATCTAGCCATTAAAATAAATTTTAATCTTTATTTAGAACTGTGCCATTTTCCTGCTACAAGTACGCGTTACTAACATTACATAGCTTGATTTCTGATAAAGTTCATGGGGCACAATGTGCTCAACAAGCTAGACAAATGGACACTATGCAGGTCTAAGTCCCTAAAATTTCACTTCATTACTGAATGACTACTCATTTCTATTTAGGTTGTTTCCGAATGGCTACAGCACGAAAAGAGCGAAAAGCTTTTGCCCGTGATTGTCGATTTGGTTAGGATATTATGTGATAAAAACCATGAGCAGAAGGTAAGGTGGACAGAGTGTAGCTAGTAGATCTGATGGTTACTGTAGTGTTCTTGCGATGCAGACACCATTTGCGCGTAAGCAACGACAATGAGCGCGCTGCCATTTTACACGCGCAACTCACAAGCAATTTGACGGCAATAGCATGAATGTTTTCGAGCAAATGTTGTGATCGCCGCAAGAGCACCAAATCGTTAAACAAGAACTGCAGTCTTGAACACATGAAAATTACAATTCAAGGCCTATTTTCTTGGCATGAATGGCATTCCAAAACTGCTCAACATTCTCAAAAAATGTCTATATGAAAACTGCCTCTGGAGAACTACTCGTTTGCTCACCGTCTTTTCTAACTTCGTAAGTTCAAAGTTATTTCTCTCCAATCTCTGTTTTTCGACATAAGTTTTCTTTTTCACATTTTAGAATCCTCAAATGCTTGTGCAATGTAATGCGCCAGCAGTGCTTGCACCACAGCTGGCACACGATTCCGAGCGGCTAGTATTGGTGTCACTTGAGTGTCTTCGAAACATCAGCGATGTGCCAACGGAAGCTAATCGTTACGATTTGCTGCGGGCATTACTGCGATTGTTTGGACATCGTAATCACAAAGTCATACGATATACACTGGATATCCTTGCCAATCTCTGCGCTAATAACAAAATCAACAAGGTAAGCTTTATGGTTTTAATTACTAGTTTTCATATTCACTACCACATTTTAAGTGTGATCGCACTCATTTTCAAGAAAAGCGCACGAAAGAAACGCAACTTAGGTCTTCATATCTCGCGCGGTTCCGCCAAATCGCTCGCCAGGCAATCTGGCTATTTGCCAGATGTCCACAGATCCTCGCCGCGCGGTATTCAAATGCATAAGTGCATATTTGACCAATGTGCTAGTTTTACTTATGTAAAGTGCGCTCACAAAGAACTGTAAACAACTACAACACAGTCCGGACAACCGAAACCTACTAAAAATGCCCGATGCCTTAGACTTATAGCATGGATTGACAGGTTATTGATTATTTGTTAGCATAAGCCGAACGCGTCGCAGCGTCTTACATAGCGCGCCCGCCATCGATAACTCCTGCCATGGTATAGTTTTTTGTGAACTAAGAGGTACTAACAGATAACACATAACAGATAGATTACTCATCAGCTAAGCTCGTCTAGGTCTAATATTTGACTAGAAATATCTCTCTCAAATCTACACGCTTTCTTAAGATGAAATCAAAAGCTACAATCGTAATCGATGATTTTTGTGACTAATATCAAAAAACAAGTATAGGCGGGTCAGCACACGCAGAAAGTGGACGCTGTTGCGCTTTACTGAGTCAGTACGTGTTGGAAAGAGGCAGCAGACTACAAGAGAATCTTGAGAGACGCCGACAGCATCCTCTCTGCGCGCGATGTCCTGCCTATGCTTCACAAATTCTTTGAAGAATTTGAGCTTCGAAATTCATTATCTAATTTATCATTATCCTGAAACCTTCCTTCTAGGAATTTCTCATATCTAACGGAATTGTCAGCTATTTGATACGAGTTTTGAACGAAGAACGAGCCATGAGCAAGCAAAATCAAACCATCGTCGTGGAAGAAATTCAAGCAAGTCAATCAATACCCCCTCTATCGGCTCATCACACCGTTTGTGCGTTTCTCAGGAGTGTATACTGTCGATTCTTTGCACATTATGCGTTGGAAACAGTATGGGTGAAGATGTTCGGATAGAAGTATTCCGGCAGCCACAGCTATTTCTCGAAAAGCTCATACATATGAGACCGATCTTGCTTAAGCAGACATTACAGGTATTTTTCCTTTTTAGCAAAAAGTGGATATTTCTGGCATACACTAAGTTCAGCTACTCTCCAAAGCGGCATTGAGAGACGAAAACTTGCCAGGTTTTCGAAATTGTTTCATAGATGGAATCTGCTTCATTCAGCAGATTGTCTACATTCTACGAGTCGCTTGTAATCAACCACCAGAGGTGAGTTTTTGCGCTCCAAGTAGGGGCTGACGCGGAAGGCAACAATCTTGAATTTCGCGCCAAAATCGCTCCTCCGCCAGCTTTTGCGGTCAAATTCTTTGCGCTTTGCACGTATGAATGCCTTCCACGTCCATCCTGTTCAAACCGAGCTAGTTGTTGGAATAGAGCGCGTTTATATCTACCTACTATTACAGACTCAAACCGTAGAAGGAATCAAAGTTAGCGAACTGATAAATCTTTCCATGACTGTGTTACATTGCCTATGTCGAGATAGAGAATTGTTGGAAATGGTGAGTTGTAGTCTATCATTACTGCAATTTCTTCAATCAATACGAGAATATTCAGGTGGTCTACTATCTTCTCTGCAATGAAAATATGAAAGTAGGAGAATGTGATGTGCTTTTGCCAGTTTATGCTCTTCACGAAGCTCACGATGAAGCAGTCAAAAAGTCAGCGATCTCACTGATTGAAGCTACGGTACATCATCCAAAGGTGAAAAGTGCACAACTCTCAAAAACGCTTCTATTCTAAGAAGTGTTTTCAGATGGCTATGTTCTTCAGTCAGAGTCATACTTTGATCAATGGTCTACAACACTATGCTAGGAGTTGCAACCCTGTCTTAGGTATGGAAGGTATCGGGCCTTTTGCAGCGCTACAGTATGCTGCTGGTTATCCGCGGCATTCAAAATTGACTTGAGCACGAAGACTTCCTTTATGAGCGTTTACGTGTAGGTGGGTGCCGGTGTGTAGGTGCCGCAATGCCCACTTGTTTGATTACGGTAGCAAACGGTATTTGCGTACAAAATGGCCGTCTTTATGATGTTCTTTTTTATCATGAAATCAACGCTAATATTTTAGCAAATCTTGCCAAGGAGTCCTTAAAATCTATTATGCATGGAGGGGCGATGTCTCGAAGTCAAATGCCACCATCGTATATGAGAACCAAAGAAAAGACCAACGCTCTGGTAAGGCCCTCTTGTCCTGGATAGAATCCAACTACAATAAACTACGTTGGATTACGGTAACTTTCAGCCTTCTTTGGAAGTGTCAACTTCTTCGACAGCGGCTCCATCAGCAATGCCAAGTCCTACAGCTCGAAGTACCCGAACGAACAATGAGCTTTGGCAGCAACCGATGGAAGGTGCTGGGGAGCAAATTCCAGAGGTTGGAATCTTTTGCTAATTTTTGTTCTGGTGAAAATGCTTGCGCATTTTTCTTTCTTCAAAAAGGCTTGGACGAGTTTCCCAAGTTAAAGGCAGTCATTTTGATGCAAATTAGCTTTTTCCGAAGCTTTCCTTCCGTATTCAGCGACGATGCGCCGGAAGTCTTCCGCGCTCCGCCTCCCTCTTTCTGGGCTCCGCCCACTTGCACGTATTCTCCACAGAATGCGGATCTGCAAAGCTTCGTAAAAAACTCATTTTCGCCATTTTCACGCACTGAAAAGCATAGATATGGGTTCCTTGTGGCGAGAAGGCTCCGAAAAGGTGAAAATCTGGAAAACGAAATTCTGCCGAGACTTGCCTTTAACGCGCATTTAGGGTATGCCTATAATAGAGGAAGGAAGTGCGCCAACAAACATCGTCTCCGCGGACTAGTGGTCCTTTCGCGCATGTTATTGCATGCCCTGGAGGACCAGTGGTCCGCGACATACTACACTTTTTAACTAACTTCGTGGCTAGCCTAGTTCCTCTAGCAAACAAGATTTCTATTTTTGTTTGAATTTCCAATACCTAGTTCTGTACAAAACAACTTTTTTTTGAGGATTTCGCCATAGTGGACGATCCTTTTGTGAATGTTTTTTGCCCAACAGCAGTACCTCAAAGCTCTCCTCCATTCTCACGTGAGTTTTTGACAGACATTTTTGCCCCTCCCCCTTAATTTCTAAAACAAATCCCTTCCAGCATCTGTCAATCATTCCGATATGAATGATAATACAATGGGAACGTATGGAGAAGAAGTTATGCAAATCAGTAGCCCGCAAAGCACGTGGGATTCGCCAAGTTCACTTCACTATACTGAACAACCCGGTTATTTGCCACCAGAAATGGGACCGTCCCACCCACCTCATCACGTGTCCGAGTCCGAGTTACCCTCGCATATGAGCACATTTTCACATCATCCACCACAACAGATGCCATATCCAAATCAATCATGGCATTCACAAATGCCTCATCTACACTCGGAAATAGGAAATTATTCTATGCATAATTATTATCCAGTGCAAAATCAGTCGTATGTGTCAAATCCAGATTATACGCAAAGATACGACCAATATCACCATCAATACGGTCGATTTCACTAGTTACTTTTCCAATTTTTGAGGTACAGCACCTTTGCGATTTCATCGCTAAAATAGCTCAAAGAACACAATTTTCTTCGCAATAAGCTCTTATAGTACAGTATGCTTGCTTTTAGCAACTGTTACTTTATTATAGCATCACTTTCGAACACAAAATCCGCGTGTGATAGCTAACCGTAAATCGCTTTGTAATACCTCAATAACTTTATGCTAATGTGCCGTGCGCAAAAATCTACCAATGATTCCTGTTGTCATATTCACCGAAAGATTCTCATTGTTTTACAGTTTTTTTCGGCATTATACACAAAACCAGTCAGCCAATTCTAGTTACTAGACATGGGTATATTTTCTTGAATTATTCTCCTTCCTCAACGGTTTTTCTCATACTATTGTCTTTTTTCTAATTTGTTATGCTCAGTACTTATTTAAGATTTGCTCAAGAAAAACATCGACAAGTGTAACGAGGTAGCGTTATGAATTGTATATATTTACTATTTGATTCATGCAATAAAAAGAAAGAATATGCAAACACCCGCGTTTGTTCAGGAAAAAATGTGTATACAAAAGAAAAAAAAGAGATGATGTGGAAAAAAAAGGGATGTGGGTGAGGTCGATCAAAAATCAGCATGGACTAGACCTCAACCGTCAGATGAGAAGAAAGTTATTTGGGGAAAAAGTCGCCGCTCAATAGATTCCTAAAATGTGAACACAATTTTGTAAAGGAGTGCTTTCCACCGGTGGTTTCGGAGCAGCATCTGTGATTGCACCATAGTAGTCATCAGATGGTCCAGATGAGCTACCAGTCGGTGTGGGATGTGATTCTGAGATAGCAGAACCTAAAAAAGGCACTTTGGGTAAGTCAAACGCCTTTATCAGATCAGTAAGTTCTTTTTATTATTATGGTAATGTTACAAGGCGTGAATATCTTCTTGCAATGCTACAGTATGCTGCTCCGGAACTACAGTATGTTACCATAAAGTACAGCACTCTACCGTAACACTGGTATGCTACCGTAAAGGTACAGTATGCTACGTCAAGAAAAACTATGCTACCCTAAGACACCAATATGTTACAAAATACCAGTATGCTACCTAAAGCAAATTATCTACCGTGACACCTCTTACCTTAAGACACCAGTACGCTACCGTAAAGTAAAGCATACCTACTGTAAAACTACAGTATGTTATCGTAGAGCACTTATGCTGCCGTAAAGCTACCGCACCCTACCGAAAGCAGCAGTAAGCTACCGTAAAGCTACAGTATGGCTATGTAAAGCTACGCTAAGCTACCTCAAGTTACAGTATGTAAAAAGTAAAACACTAGTGTACTAGCGTGAAGCAACAGTAAGCTACCGTAAAACACCACTATGCTACAGTAAAGTCACACTAGGCTACCGTAAAGCTACAGTATGATACCGTAGAGCTTGTGTATGCAACTTGCTACGCTATAATGTGATGTAAGCATAGTTTTTGGCTGGACAAGGGCGCCCAGTTTAAATTTACCGCGCGAAGCAACGGTAGCGTACGGCATATGTGTGCAAGGATGGCTTTCGAACAATACACTTAACGTGCAATCAACGTACAATCCGTAAGGGCCATATATTTGCAGAAATTTGGCATTTCATTTGTTATGTTAAAAAATATCATGTAAGCTAGGTTACCTGATTTTGACCCATGTACATCGTCGTAATAGTCTCCTCTTTTGACACGCCGCTTTGGATCGTCATCATCGTCATCCAGAAAATCCCAGTCGGTATCGTGCTGCCGTCGGATGATTGGATCAGGCTAAAACACTCTTTTACATTACTTTTGACGAATCATACAAGTGAAGCCGACCTTGAGATTGAAAAGCTTGTCAACGGGCAATATCGGAGCAACAATGGGTGGTACGATCAGTGACGGCACGGTTGGGAATGCCAAAGGTGGAGCTGGTGGCGGTGTAGGAGGCACGAGAGGAGGAGCAGGTGGCAAAGGTGTGAAACTGGCCACAAGATCGTTGCGAACATCGAGCAAGTGGGGTCCTCCTTGAAATTTATTTATTTATCTTATTAAGATGTGCAAGAAAACGAATGGACAACGTTTTAAAATTTGGCCATTTACAAATTCAAGGTTGTCCATTGAGAAGGCAGTTTTTTGTGCCATGTCCGAGTTTCTCGTTCTTCTACAGGCAGATAAAAGATATCACAAAAGCACATACAGTAATCAAAAGGTTCACTCTCAGTGAAATTGCTCAAAAAACTCCAACACACTGTTGAATCTTGATATTGTCATTTTTTCAATAAATTTTGACATTTTTTCCAAAATTATGTTTTTCAAGAGTGGAAAGTTTGCTTGATTTTCAATCAATGGGTCCACAGAACTGGATAGATCTTTGAATTTTGATCCTAGTTTATTTGGTGAAAACTAAGCAAACTTTATCTATGATCAGTACAATCTATAAACAATCATGCTTAGAGCATTCAGCAAGAAACTCACCGGTCTGCTCTGGCTGACTACTCCATGTTTTTGATCCGTATACCTTCCGTGGTTGTGAAAAATCCATTATATATTCAGCATCATCCATCATAATCTTCGAAAAAATCAAGAACATACATATTCGACTCAAAATGTCTTATGAGTGCTCAGATAAAGGGAAGCGGCACTTTTGCACCGCTACAGTATGTTAGAATCCGCTCGACATGTGAGCCTGCCACAGTGCAACGTTGCGCTTAACGTAATATCATTTGTGCAAAAAACGCCACAATGTTTAGCCTCTTATGCTGTATTGAACTTTGCATGGTGACTGATATACGGTATAAGTGCAAAAAGGGCCACTACCCACAGAAACTTGTGGTTCTACTAATAGCTGCTAGTACTAGCTCACATCATTCTCCATTCTTTCCGGAATTTTCGGTGCTTCTGTTTTTGGCGGTTCCATTTTACTTGGAGACCTGGACTCGATGGTTGTTATAAACCTACAAAGATCATGTAAAATTTAACTTTAGCATATAGTGTAGTATTTTCAACTAGTTAGTAAATCCGCCTAATTGATGAATACTCTTCTTACCTATCGATGAGTTGGAAACCATTTGAGAAAAGCTTGCATTGGCCTTCATCCATCCCTTGTTCTTTGCACACGGCCGTGATTGCCTCGGGATTGATAAAAAAACAACTTTTATCCACAATGCATGTATTTGAAAGAACCAAACTATTCATCGTTCTGCTAAGCCCCGCCCTCATCAGCAAAACCTTCTAGGCAATAGAAAATCAAAAGAAAACCTGCTAATGGCCTGTCGCAGTTTCTTATCTCCCAGCACCTGCGCTGCCAATTGTATATTTCCGAATGTAGGATCTTTTTTGAAGTTTTCCGCAGAGCACGAGATGAACTGACAAATTCTAAAAGGGTAGAAGTGCAATAATTCCATTACTACCTCACAGCATGCAAATCAAACACAGAGTTTTTCTACGATTTTTTGTAAAACTGTTACTTGGCTGTCAGCTACAGCTAGGTTTCGAAAATAGTATTGATATAAAAATTGTGACTTTTTAACCTGCTGCTTCCTTTACAAAGTGGAATATCGTCAAGGGGATGTGCAGCACGAGCTCCAAGAATGCTAGAGTCCCGAACATCATCCGTTGATGGAACTGGCTGTAAAACAGAGATGTTAGAAACTGTATATGATTGAGATACGAAATAATGTTTGGAAATTGCATAAAGTGCTAATAAGCTAAATATTTCGAATAAGATTTTGGGCCATGGCTATGCGGTTAGTGGCCACCTTTTACAGCTGCAAAGGTACAAAGTACATTTATTATCAATAAATAGATCAAAGGATGATTGATGCCTGGGATTGCTTTGACCAATTCAAATATTTATTTTTTGTAACCTTTCACTTGTCGCTTAGAATCTATTATTATAGTGCAAAACTACTTGAATGGAAGCTACAGTAACCTAGAATGCATTAATGATTCACAAAGAGGAGAAAAACTTGCGCAAGATTTTTTGTTGATTTAAATTCCATTAGATTTTTGGATATTATTATATAGCTGTGGAGATCAAGGTATCTCTACTATGAACTAATAGCGAGTGAAGATTTCGTAATAATTTCTTTTCTTTTTCCCGTTTCTGTCTAGCTTAGTCTCGCCAAGATTCACCTGCCTTATAAAGAGAAAATAAAACCTCAAAGAACTTGGAGTTGTAAGTTGTAGTAATGTAAATCGCTTCATTAGAATCTTGCCAATTTGGGCACTTCTTGTTCTAAGTACTCTTGCTTCGTAATGGGACTTGTTGCAGTGGGTTTTAGCAGTTCTAACTTTACTTTCTTGCATTTCTGTAAGAACCTTTACAGACTTGGAAGATATATTCGAAGGAGATATATGTTCTTGCGTTGCCGAGACGATTTCTGCTCGTAGATAGAGGCAAACGCGCTCTATGGCCAAATTTTAAGCGCAAGCCTTAGCCAGTTGTCGACAGTTGATACAGCATTTGATAGTGCGAATATTGTTGTCAACACAATGGCACCACATCCCGTCAAATCAACTAGCCTATGCATTTTTGTCTAATTAAAAATTATGAATTTCATTGTGACATAAGATTATTGTGAAATAAATTCCCTACTTTCTAATAGCGGCTCACCTGTTTCTTTAACATTTCATCGTTTTGCAACGGTTGTGACGTGTCGAAAATCGGTCGAACTAACGAGAGCGCTCTCGAAATCAAGTCATCGATAGATACTAAACTGAGAAGATTTTCGACAGCTTGAAGCAAGCCCTATATCTTTGAATTAACACTCACATTGACGTTTGAATCGAATTGCATCGGTTGTAGAACTGGCTATAAGAATCACTAACAGCTGCCATCGCAACATTCACTGGAGCAATTTTCTATGTAAATACGTAAATAATTGGAAATTCACGAAGGAAATTGTCAAAACAGGAAGATTTGCAGCGGATAACGATGACAGTGTGATGACAAACGAAGCTGTTTGAACGTTAGTCAAGCTGGCGTTCAAGTTCTTTTTCGGAACAGTCACCACGTTCTTAGCTGGATTTCCTTAACATCGACAAGCTGATTGCTGATTGCAATCGATACGTTAGGCATTGTTCTTTCAATTACTCATGAAAATGCTTAAAAAAATACTTTTTTGTAGCAAATGAACTCGATTATGCGGAATGAGTGTGGTTTCAGTTAGATGAAGGGTGGATAGTTTAAACGAATTTTTTGAGCAGCCAAACTGCAATGGGGTAAAAGACCAAAGATAGATGACTGTCAGCCCACAGGAAATTTCTTTTGACAAAAATAGGTCACGATAACGAAAAGTAGTCTTTTCAACTTGCTGCACTCGATTGTTGATAGATGAGATTTCGAAGAATTTGTAGCCCATCAGCTTTTTTGAATTCTTGCTTTCCCAGATACTGTACCAGTTATTTCATTCAATTTCGAGATCTAGTGAATGGAATAGTGTAAATATTCTTTCGGAGCTCAAAACTATTCGACCAACAATTCGAGTGATACTCTAGCCGTATGTGATGCCTTCCAAAGCTTCCAGATATGTAGCATATAGGGTAGACTGTAGGGTTACGATATTGTTAGAGCCAAATTTTGCCCGAAAACGATCCAAAATCCTCAAATCCCGCTCAGTGGATCAATCAACGCTGACTATGAAGGCGGTTTTATTTTACGAATACAAATACGAATATTCAAGAAAATGTAATGGAGTTTTTTCGGTTTGATGTGTTTCACTTGAAGAACAAACCTATGGGGCATATTAGCATCTGCGTCCGAAAAGATTTTAAGATCATAGATGTGAAGGGTATTTGAAATGATTAACAGGACATTATTGGTGTCATCTCCCATAAAAGAAAGAAGCGACTAGTAAGTGGATCTTCCATAGTGCTCCAGATGTATTTTTCATGCATATTAATGAAGCTAAACTGAGAGAGATTTACCAATGACTGGGTATATTTTTAAGAGGCTGAACAATTCCCTAAAAAACTAAAAATGGAATATATTGTCCTGATACTTGATTACTGGCACTGTTTTTCATCTATGACTAAAGTTACGCATACATCTTCTACCTTTTTCCTAGTTGCTACAAAAAACTGCGCTCAAAATGAGAAAAAACTGTAAGTGATACGAAGGTTTTGCATAGCAAAGTGTGTTGGTTTTGGTTGAGGATCGAACATTCACAAACATTTGAAGTGTTTGTGTAAGGCTGTGCGATGACCATGCAGAAAACATCACTGAATGTAATATTAGGTCGTTCCGAAAGTTCTTTCCGTTTTTTCAACCTATCATAAAAACATGTGGAATGAAGGTAGGGAAACGCTTCAGGCAATATCCGACGCAACTTTTCTTCCCCTTTTAAACTGTTATGTTCATTTGCCGTTTGCTATTGTGGTCAGTGAGATAATGGCCGAAATTTCGGACCTATGGTTTTTACCATGTCCAACTTTGGCAATTTTTCACTATCTTCTTTCTCAACTTTTGGAGAAGCTTTGATAGCAGTCAGATAGAGTGAACAAAGTGGAATGCAATGCAATTTTTTGGCGATTTCAGCCGGCTTCTCATTATTTTTTTAGATAACTTTTTCAAAAGTCTTCACTTTTTCGAACTCACAAAACACACAAACGCTCTGAACATCAACAAATCTTCGGTTTTCGAAACTTTCAAAAGTCGTTTATGATTGTACACTATTTTTACAAAGTAACTGAGCGTTTACCGCTTCGGAATATAAGATTTTGCATTGCACGGATACATCATGAGGCGGGTTCAAAATCAAGATTTATGGAAATTTTATCGCCAAAGACCCCACAAAATAATAAGAGAAAGTACTCATCAGAAAGAGGAGAAAAAGCTGCATCGAATGACATTTTAGTTGTGTGCCGTTTTATGTTCTGTGGCTTTTGGCATCCCCAAAAGTGGAATTTGATAGCATCAGAAAAATAATTCTAAAAATGTTTTGAGGCTAGCTATAGATGCCAAAAAATCGCATAAAATTGCATTTTGTTTACTTTATCCGACTGCTATCAGAGCTTTTCCAAAAGTCAAAAAAGAAGATAGCGAAAAATTGCCAAAGTTGGACATGGTAAAAATCATGGGTTCGAAATTTCGGCCATTATCTCACTGATCATAAGAGCAAGCCGCACAGGACTATGACAGTTGAAAAGAGGAAGAAAAGCTGCGTCGGATAGTGCCTGAAGCGTTTCCCTACCTTCATTCCTCGTGTTTTTATGATAGGTTGAAAAAACGGAAAGAACTTTCGGAACGACCTAATAGAAGAAAAGTAGGTAACCGTAAGAATTAAAATAATAGGTTGTCCTATAAGTCCCGTCCGCTTTGAATTTTTATCACAAGAAGTCACTTCACATATTTGAATAGAAAGTACATTCGATAGAGCTAAGCAAGCTCTACAATATGGCTTTCTCGATTTTGCACCAGCTTTGATCCACATTGAGTTTGAACCCAAAAGCTAAAATGTGCAAATGTCCGGAAAATGAATAAAAAATCGTAGCTCCATCCACAATGATCCTACAAACTTCCTAACCTGCTCATGTAAACACTTTCCACACCATACATTTATGTAAAACGTTGCTGGTCAGTCACGAAAACTAAAATTTTTATGCTTTTGCTAAAGTGATCTTCAGCTGCTCCCACATAAAAGTTATAAGTGTATGTATATTACAAACCTGTAAAAATACGACCGTGAATTTTCAGCTTTGTAAAAGCTCTAATTTGCGAGAAATATGGATTTCATGTGAAATCCGATTGAGGGAAGCTAACGTAGATATTTCTTGAGGATTAAAGCTTGTAGGAGCAGAAATTTACATTCATACTTCTACAGGCTTACGGTATGCAACACTCATGTGGGAAATGCAGGGGACCACTTTGGCAGAAGGATGAAAATTTTCGTTTTCTTATTTTCTAGCCAAGAAAAAGATACAGCAACGTTATATATAAATGTGTGATGTTGAAAGTTACGTGAGCAGATTAGGAAGTAAGATTAATTCTAAACGGAATTACGATTTCTCCTTCATTTTCCGAGCATTTACATCGTTTCAGATTCAGCTTCGAACTCAAGGTGGATCAAAGCTGGCGCAAAAGCAAGAAGCCTGTAGGCTTGCTTAGCTTCATCGAAATGATACTTTCAAACCTATTCAGATATGAGAAGTGCATGACTTACTGCGGTTGAAAGCCGAAACGGACGAAACTTAGGAACAACCTAATAGTTCAACATTTTTAGGCCATGAAGAACTTGCAGCAAAGCTATGGGAATAGATCTCAACGAAGTTGAAATAGAAGTCGGTTAGCGAAATCAAATTATTTTTTGAATGTCTGACTGTAAAAAACTAATCTAATTATTCCTGATGACCAGATGAAAGCAAATAAGTTCGAATGAGAAATGTTGCAAAAGCAAAAGTGATGCAAATTGATGCCGGAGAGACTCTGCGCGTCGCCGAATCCAGTATCCCTAGTGGAAATAATCGGGCATAACTAGAACGCCCGAATGATAAACTGAGACCAGAGAGCAGAAGTTTCTTCGGGACACGATAATTATGTTTCTTAATTGGACGAGTAGAGAGTGGGTGTTCTTCAACCTCTCCGAGACTAGAATCTGTGTGAATGTACAGTAAAGCAAAAGATTTATTGTCATGTAATGGAAAGCGTAAAATGTGATAACAAGAATTGATAGAAGCCAGGGTAAGTAGCCCCAGAAAACGGAGAAATAGGACGACTGTAAAACGACATTCGGATCGAACGGATCGTTGAGAGTGAAACTAGCGCGGCGCGAGTGACGGGGGACGGGGTGCCGGGACAGAAGAGGCACTACTACGGCGCAAATGAGCGTTGTGTGATTGCAACTAGCATGAAAAAACCTCGAAAACTTTCAAATTACGTTATTCAGCATGATTTATAAGACTGGAAGCATCAAACAGGAAAGGGGTGAATCGATGTGCCGCTCTCACGAATCAGTGCTGGGTTTTGCGCACTCGGAACGGGGGCATGTGCCGTCCATTTCAGTCGGTATCAAGGTCGTGACACAGTAAAGAAGCACTGCTCCAGAAGACGATCGGAAGCGTACGGGATATGGATTTCGGATGCCAGCCGTATACGTCGACAGGTACTGAAAGCACTTAATTATTCAAGAGATATTAGACATAAACAATGAGAGCTTGTGCCATTACTGGTCACAGTTTTGAAACAAATTCTGAAACAATTGTTTTCTGAAGTTTCAATGAACATTCAAATGAAATTTTCTGGGATTCCATCATGCTTCTAATCCATCCCCAAAGCAAGAATTTTTGTTGGATTATTGTGACGGTACAAGCTGAGAAGGCGAATAACACAGATCGTATTGTCTCAATCTTCGCCAAAAATGCTGAAAGGTCAAATATCGCGTAACGTAACCTATTCTTTTTGATCAAAAAATTGTGCTAATTGAATGTCTTCACGAAAGTAATTCTTGAATTTTCCAAAAATTTCTGGTATTGTTGAAGGTGAGTACCGGTCGGTGCAAGATTTGTCAACTTTTTTAATCCATCCGCAAATACTAGAATATACAGGATGTTCCAAAAATGTGCACACTGTTTAGTCGTTAATAATACTCTTGTTTTCATGTTTTTGCCGAGCTTGAGGTACCACTCTGTAGAAAGAGGTTCAACTTAGATTTACAGTTTGAAGCGAATTACCAATCGCTTTTCATTACTGCAGGATTACCATAGGAACTTCGAGGAGGATTTTAAGCCATTGAAAGAGGTATTTTGCCTCAGAAAGACCGCCATAAGCCAAAAGCTCTTGAATTGGGATAGTCGAAGTCACTGATTTTAAATATGAAGCACTTCAGTACAGTGCTTCTTTCAAAAGTTATTTCAAATTAAGGGTAACAGCTGTTTTCCAGTGCTCGTCAGAAATGTGAACACGCCATCAAGAAAGCTCGAAAAACTAGCGAAAAGTTATGTAGTGAGATCACCACGCCTGAAAACTCCGCTACACAAATTTTCGGATTCTTTTGAAACTATTACATCAGAAGGCCTATTCCACAGTGGCGTATGCTGAAAGTTCATGTCGTAATCCTACAGTAATGAAGAGTGTGGTAATTTCCTCCATACAGTAAATCTAAGTTGAACCTTGCTCTACGGAATGGTACCTCAAACTCGGCAAAAAACATGAAAGCAAGAGAGTTATTAACGATCGAACAGTATGCACATCTTTTTGGGACACTCTGTTATAAACGATAGCTTCAAGTAGTCCTCGATGCAGAATTTCTTCGTCTATCTAGCTGCTTTAGTTTCAATATGATTCATTGAAAGATTGCTCAGATAACTGTTAGAGATTACCTCTTTGCTTTCACCATGTCTACATTCCGCCATTTTTCAAAATTCTCATTTTAGGCTTTTGGGGAAGCTTTGATAGCCACCAGAGGCAAAGCTTTTGCCAACTAAGAAAATTTATTTTGACTCAGCTTCTCTTTTCGAATTTTGCTAAATAATTCCCCAAAAGTCTTGATTTTGGAAAAATCGCATAACATATTATTGCAGCAAACACTGCAAAATCTTGAAATTCTGAGGTTTTGAAACTCGATCATTATTATTTCCAAATTCAAAAAGTAAACGAACGATTTTTGCTTCAAAATGTGAAGATCTTGCAGCTTAGATTACTTCAGCTTAGATTACTTCACTCGTAAGATTGAGAAAGCGATTTTACCCGCAAATTTCGAGTGTCTCGCCAAGAAAAGACAACAGTTGGAAAGAGGAGAAAAGGTTACGTTGAACGGTACCTGGACTGTTCAAATCATGCTCTACGGGGTTAGAATAGGGCGAATGTAATGAATGGTCACTTCAAAAAAAATATATTCTGAAATTCTAAGAGACAAACCAAAAAGCTACAACAATTCGCATTTGTTTACATAGGGTTTGCCCATTCAGTTGGTTATAAAAGCGGCTTCGAAAGTCTCATTGTCACATCAAAATTTTAAAAATTAGCGGAAGTTAGACATGGTGATTAAGAGCGGTTGTAATCTTCAGCGATTACTCTAACATTCCCTCAACGAATCATATTGGATGGCTGCTGGAAAGAGAAAGACTTTGCTCTGAAACTTGGAGTGTGTGTTTATCTTTACTGTACTTTGCGGGCTGTTTCAAAAAACTGGCAATTAGGCACCGACCTAAAATAAACATCCTATGCAGCATATATTTTACTTTTAGAAGAATAAAATGTTGTAGATTAAAACATGTGGATCAAAACGTTTCTCAGTTTTAACTAAATTTCATAGATTTTGATGCAAAACTAGTGTCCCAACTCATAAATGTGAAACATTTCTTCCCCTTTTTCTCGCCTTTTCTCCTGACATGCTAATAGAACTGGTTGTTATGATACTTTGAGGGAAGAAAATATGTGAAATAATAATAGTGCAGCAAGTTACGGAGTTACTTGAGGATCTTATACAGATCTTATACGTTAGCAATACATTAAATGCACTTTCACTTCAATGCTTCTCCGTTTTCTTTTTCAAACATGTCTAGTGATGCATAAAGAATTACGATCGTCACTATATCGTTTGAAACGTTATTGTGAGACTTCTCACCTCGACGTTATCGTAGAGTGAAGATTCCAAAGAACATCCAAGCTTGTCAATGATTGGATAGGGTTTGAACCCAGCTTCGTCTGAGCTCAGGGTACCTAAATGGAAAGAAATAGATGCTTTTTATCATAGGAACATGTTCTTACAATTTGCTACTAAGAGGCAGTAACCATCGTGAGGATTACATTGTATTTTATAGTAGAGCTCGACATCCAAAGCTGTCCCTGTAAGAAAGACATAATATAGCTGCCAGTTTAGTGTCACATTAACAATTTTGCTGTGACACGCTATTATATCCACACGCTCCTCCTCCCCCCCCCCCCCCCATCCTCTTCTTTTTTTGTAATTCTCAACTAGGGGGTCAAAGCAACGCAAAAGTTCCATAAATTCACCTCGTTTATAATTCAGTACCGTCAGTTCAACACATATTTTTAAATATCCTGATACCCTGGAATTCTGCGTCTTCAAATTCTGCTGATTCTCCAAAACTGCAATTCCATAGCTATCAAATAGAAGTACTTTGATGAAAGATCACACTCTATCTCGGTGGAAATGGGTATAGCGATTGGCTCATGAATAATTTGAAATTTCGGCCTAATCACGCCTGAACCACTTCTTCAACCACGCCCATCTTTGAGACCCCGCCCATTGAAGGGAATAAGTTGTTTAGGATTTCTCTCACTCCGTTTTTCTTGCTTTTTGAATGATTATGTAGTATATTGACCTGATACGAGGGGACCTTTTGGACCATCTTTATGTACGGTAAATTCGCATTTTGCCGTTGGTGCATTGACAGATTTTGACGTCTCAATAGCAGGCGGTGACGGTCGTTCAGACAAAATCACTTCAGATAGCAATGCGATGATAATGAGTTCGAACATCGTTGTGCTAATGAAAAGAAGATATATTGAAATGGAAAAGAAAAATAGAGACAAGTTTATAGTTTACAGCTCTTTGAAAGTGGAATTGCTTAATGCATTCGAGAAGAGGAAATGAATAAAACTGGTAAAGAAGATCTGTAAACTAGTCATTTCGCTCGAGACTGGAAAATCAAGTGTTTTAGATTTCATAAAACCAGCGTACTAAAAGTAACCTACGTAGAGTAAGTAAGAAGGCTCTAAAATGATATGTACGAATACGAGTACAACGAAGTATATAGCAAATTTTTTCGATTTCTCTGCGAATTGGCTTGTCATCACAGGGATGGAAAAAAAATAGGATATAAAAATGTAACTGAATGCAAAAAAAAATCAAACGCAATTTTTAATGCCTTCTTTTCTCCATTAGACAAAATATTGAATGATCTTGAAAGGTGGCTAAAAATAGAAACTTTGTTGAAAAGCCACATAACCCAGACGGTTGCGGCTTCAAAATTTCTTGGTTTCTGAGTTCTCGCCAACTTCCTAGTAATTTGAAAAATGTTAAAACATGCATTTTACCGTCACCACCACATTCATAATGAAACTAGTATTAGTAAGAGCATAGGCAAGCACGAAAAGAATGGAAAAAGCGCAGATCCACAAACACAGTGAAAATAGTCCCTAAAGATTTCACAGATAAAAGAATAAAGTTTCAGTCAATCAGATATACGGAGTGTAATTAGCGACGCCCAACTGGTCTTATATTGGGTCAAATGCGCGTGTCCACGTTCAGATCGTATTTGGACTGTACATAATTGTGCATTTAGACTTGTAGAGAGTGCAATAAAACGTACGATTTACTCTTTGATATCTCAGAGTTTCATTAGGCCAAGGTTAGGGCATAAGTATATCAGAAAAAAAACCTACCTGCACGGTGTAAAAGTGGATGTAGTTCATCTTCACTTTCAAATCGCAAGGTCAAACAGCGCACTCTTAGACAGTTTTCAATTCATTAGCAGCACCAGCAATTTATACTCGGACTAATTTGCAAGACTAGAAATAAAAAGTGGTAAGAGGGTATGAGACTGTATAAACGTCGGCTTCAGCATACTATTTTTGTGACCGTTTTATCACTTTGTTCGGCTCTCGCCATAACTAAGCTTTTGATGACTACGATACTACGATCACAGGCGTCACCAACACTGAGAACGCAGTAGTTCGCGCTCCATGACCAATGTAGTTCCAGAAAAATAGCAGGGGAAACATGAGTTACAGATATATTAGGATGTCTCATAATTTTTTACCGTTTTACCCTAAACATCAGCATTTCTCAAAGACTGGCGCACTTTCAAAGGATACAAATACATGATCGTACTTTTGTATGAGCCATACGATCACATGCGTAGGAGGAGCTCAGGACGTCTAGAGGCTGAGTTTGCCATTTTACCTCATTCTTTTTTTTATCTCTAGCAATGGAAAAAACTCGGATAATGTGCAATCGAATGTGCGATGTGTTAAGCATATGCTGAAATAATTTTGGAATTTTTAGATGCTTTGGAGCGGAGATACGATTTTTGACAGAAAAGTTCGTTTTCGACTACTATCAGATTCCAGCTTAAAACTTCAAGTGGGATACGATTTGGGCAAACTTCTAAGCCATCTTGTAGAGCTTGCTTTGCCCTGTCCAATGATTACTCAAGCCACATCAGATGAAAGATAGATACAAAAAGACGGCGGTTGTAGTAAAAACGGTAAAAAAATTATGAGACACCCTAACAGTACCGCCCTCAAAAAGATTATAACGTAGAAATTGCTGAACTAGACAAGTTTCATGATTTTGTCAGGCGGACAATGTGGAAGCTGCGTCCGCATAACAGCTGTAAGACTCTGGCCATACCTCGCGCGATTTCACTCGCCATTGACAATTTGCCAGATACCTTCAAATCAACTATTCGCAGTTTATAAGTGTATGCGTGCATGACTCTGTGATTTGATAAAATGCCCCAAATTCTGCGTGTCCAAAGTGGGATTACGATGAGTTGCAAACATTTGGAGTCTAAGTTATGCCAAGTCTAACTCTTCTGAATCGCTTGGAGAAAACTTTGCAAAAAGCTAGCTGAGAACAACCACTTAAGGGCACCGTCCACACAGATTCTCGACTTCCAGGTTTTTGTCGTAATCAGGGCCTTCTCATGTCCCTGATTCCAAATACGAAGTCGATAATCCGCGAAAATCGACAAAAATCCCCATTAAGACCCACAGGCCGGCTTCTCAGAACGGTGATTGGATGAGCGCGCAAAAATGGGCGGGCATGGATGAGGAGGGGCGGGCATGGATGGGGGTCCTCGCGCATCTTCGCTATTCCGAAGCGATTTTCTCGCTTCCGAAGCGGCATTTTGCGCCGCGACTTGGGCCTTAGCTTGATAGGAGGCCCTACTGTTATATACTGTCAAAAGCTCAATACTCTGCACTTAGGGTGGACGGTGCCTTTAACGTGCTCATTACGAGGGTATATGAACTGTGCATACAGCGAATCTGCAAAACTATAAAAAAAAATCACCTTTGCTTGAAGGTTCACCTTTGCTGATCTCCGCTTACAGCCTACTCCTTTTGGCCATTGTTGTTCAAAAAAGTAGTATTCAAATGTAGGCATTTTGAATGGTAGATTCAATCAACAGATGATTATCTTCAAATCTGCAGCACAAAGAGATGCTTGTACTTTTCAAAATTGCGAATGCATTATCAATTGCAAATTTGACTTCTGCAGTTCATATAGGGATGCGAGGGAAAACTTGATTCACTCGTATGGAGAAAACATTATATAAATAGAAGCAAGTTCATTCGCTATGTTTCACACATCAGTTATAGAATGTGGCACAAAAGAAACTTTGGATTTCTTTTAAATACAAAGTACATTTAATAAGGGCGCAACACAAACACCCGTTCTGCACATACGACTCACAACTTTCAGACAATTAAAAAACATTATGAAAGCTGATAAGCAAATAAAAAATGGAATGATAAATAGGCCGCAAAAGCTTCGATCACAGAGACTAAAGATAATGGACAAAGATTATAAGGATAAGGATAAGGACCCGAGAGCTAGAAAAACCACACAACCTCTCTGAAGATCTGCACTATTGAGACAAAGCAAATCCATATACGCAACACCTAGAAGACGCTCATGCTACAACAACTGGCTACCAGATTGTTCAAATGCATTCCAAGCCTCATTGAGTTCAGTGAAAATTGCTCGCGCAAGTTTCTCATGTTCTTGCCCAACTTGCTTATCTGGATGCACTACCAAACATGCTTTGTAGTAACTTCTCTTTACCTGTAATGTAAAAATTCGTCGAGGCCACTATAAACAATGTAGCAAGTGGACCTGGTTTGCAGTGAGAAGGTCAGCCATTGATGGCTGCTGCCATTTTTCAGCTCCTTCCCAGAGTACATCATTCAGAGATCCTAAGAGAGCACGAATGTTCTTCTCTTTTCCATTTACCCAATCGCGGATCTGAAAACACAATGATGACTTTCGCATAAACTAACTATTCAGCGTCTGCCATAGGATATACTTGATATTCTAGAGATTATATTACGCCACTACACTGCATAAAGACCAAACGCAGTATTTTGGGGGAGATTTTCCACTTCTGATCCAGAGTGGTAAGTATCAGCTCATATACTCCTGATAAGTGTCTAGAAGACAAATGCAAAGCAGTAAATTACCTTGATTGAGACGGGATCCATCTCCTTGATCTCTTCAGCTCTCTTCATGTCCCCTAATGTACGATTCATGTTCTTTGCCGAAGAAGTAGTGAAACCCTGCAGGATTAAAAGAATTGGAATGAAGAAAAAACTCTCTAAGACATGCATGAATGCTAGTAGGTGCACATGCGCAATGTCCAAAACGTTAGCAGAGTTATGAGAACATTATCATATGCATGGGAGCAAACACTAGACTTGTCAAAAAGAATACCGCACCTTCCCCGAAGTTATTTTCGGATAATTCGCACGCTTTTCCCACCTCTAAACGCTTTCATCTGGTGCAACCCACAGTAATTGCAGTGTCTGAGTGGCAACGAAACAACCACTGTTTTCATCCTTATACCCTCCCCGCTCCCTTCCACGAAAGCGACTTATTCAAGAATCCCGCATGTCTTTCAATGCCCAAGAAAGAATTATGAAGCTCGCACAGATGGCTCAATACAAGCACAGAATATGGAATGACATGGGTGGAGATATTCACTTTCGAAACGACGATAGGGAACAAAAAATGGATAAAGGTTAGCAAAAAGCAATAGACCAGCCGTGACTATATAACTGGATCGTCGAGCCAACAAAAAGCCGCAAATAAAGTAGAGAGCATAAAGCTTTTCGAACGGCGCACTCACCTGACTAGAAAGAAGATCACCAAAAGTGTCACTTGACACTTTCGCCTTTCCGGTAGTATTAGTGTTATTCAAGCCTTCGAATGCGGTACGACTGTAATTAGGCCTAGCGGGTTTCGGTGTATTACAGCCGCTGTTCGAAGTAGAAGCTGCAAGCAAGAGAAAAAAAGGTAAGTGGTGAAAGCACTATAAGTAAAAAAGCCGTACCTTGCGTACTTGTAGGATTACTTGCACTTTGTGAGAGAAACTCAGCGAAAGGATCTATAGTAGTGGCAGATGTAGGCTGGAACGCCGGTGCCGAGACATTGCGGTGAATTGCAGATGGGTTTCCTGCGCCGAGTGCTAAAACGGACCGCAATGTGAAAACGATGCACAAACAAGCTTTGGAATAAATATCTTACTAGGAGCGGTCCAGTCTCCCAACAGATCATCGGTATTCGGAGCAGCTGGAGCAGTCGGAACCGACCAACTATCCTTCAGCAGATCCGAGAACGGATCTGGAGATCTAGCTTGGGTAGCATCCGTGTTACTCGGCCCTACAAACATTCAAGTGAGATTATTCCAACCAGGCAAGTGAATCATGGAGACGTCTAGAAAATGCGCTTAGATATCACTTGATTGTCAAAAAAAACCAATGAAAGATAGTGAAAAACATTTTCCGGCAGGATAATTGCTTACATAAGGCTTCGCTAACAAACACCCTCTAACCCTTTTGTAAGCGTTGAGTGTGGACTGTAGACTTGAGTGAAAGCTTGTGTTCATAAACTTTAGAAAGCTTGTGTTCATAGACTTCTAGAGATGGTGGTCAGCTTCGGATGTATAAAGGAGAATATGTGCTACAGATAACTACTTGACAAGCGGAGGGTCTGCATGCACAGTTAGGAATATACTTGCACGGACCAGGAATCATTCGAGAAAGATGAGGGAGCGTTAGGACTTGACAAAAGCGCAGAGGTGAGCAATAACACAGTCCGCGGATCTGATGATTTGACTATAGTGACAATACCTGAAGATCCTAAGTCCAGCAGATCGAATTCACTGACAGGAGCGCAAGGAGGAGTGAAAGCGCTTAGTATAGGTGTCTCTTTTTCACAATCGAATCGGTACTGATCAGCGTCTGGATCTGCTACATGGCTTACTCGTATGCCCGCTTGGCGTTCGTAAGCTTCCGCAATATCCGCGCCCTGTAAAAAACACTTTAAAGCGAAGACACGAAGAATTGCACTTACACTTATATTCCAATGTTTAATGTCTAGACATTTTCGCTAGTCACACAGATATCGTATTACTGCATCTACTCATATGTATGTATGTTTATGCATACTCACACTTTGCATAGGTAGACGAGACGAGTTACTGCGACTTGATGGTGAAGATACGCCCGTCGTCTGCGTTCTCTCCGATTGTAAAATGGAGAACAGATTTGGATCGGTAACATGAGGTTTTTCATGAATAACCGGTGGCGGTGGTGGAGGGGGTCGAGCAGCGTTCACCTGTTGACGCTCTGTCCACTCCAGGGTCTCAAAAAAGTCGGAGCTCGAGGTGACTGGAATTTGCGAAGCGTCACTAGAGATTTCAGAGCGTCCAGCTTCCATAGATGCGCTCGCTTCTGACGACATGCTATACCAATCCATTATTTGTTCTGAAAATTGACACGCTAGATAATACCAAAACTGAAAATCATATGAGATAATATACTGAAAGAAAGAGATATAACCAATTCATCCTCAATCTCGTGGGAAATCCTTCAAAAAAAATGAAGTAAAGAAAATTTCTGCAATAGGTGATGATTAATACTGTAACACTTACTTTGCTCTTCGAAATCAAGAACAAGCAAATCGGGAGAACCAGCTCGTAAAACATCGGGTTCCTGTGTTGATGAGTCATAGCTGAGACTATCGTCCGAGATTATTCGAAGACCCAGCGCAATCCTGTAAAGTAACAACTAAGAATCCAAAAATAAAAGTACTGCATATCTAATGCAGATTCAGCAACGTATAAAAATCTTGAAGAGAGCTACTACGCCGCCCATCTGATGTTTCACTTACAAAAAAGAGGAATTTTATCGTTAGAAACCGTACATATCCGTGTCAGAAAGGGCCTGCTTTGTGCAGTAATTACGTCTATGACTCTCTGCATTTGCATTAATGCAAGTGCACTGAATGCTTCCGCTTCTTTCCGCCACTTCAGCTGTAAACACATCCATGCGAGGTCGTTATAGTGATTTTTGTGTCGAGCTGCCTGGACAGAATTAGCGCCGAAATTCACTATTTTACGCGGATCAAAACATAGCTAAGGTAAAGTTTTGAAGCCCATAAATCAAATTGGAGTTGCTGTTTCCGCAGAAAATCTCGGAAATAACTGCCGCTTGCTGCCCTCATTACATACATTCAACTTGCAATGAGCATAAGTTAAACTGCTTTGCTGTCAGTGAATATAATTTTGTCAGTTCCAAGTTCAAGATGAGCCACAAACGGACGACACGAAATTTCAAATTTCCATGAACACTAAAAATGCATTAGTCAGCATATAAGTTGGACACAACAACTAGTTTTCAGTTGGTAATCTAATAATGAAGTTTGCCGAGCAAATTATATGTTGTTCACTTGCAAAATTGCTGACGCAGGCTGATGTCAAGACTATGTTGAAGGACAGCAGCGAAAACTACTTAGTCACATTATTGCAGCCACTTCCGCTCGAATGAAAAAAAAACAGGGTTTCGATCGACTTTAGCAAGACATGCCGGCATACCTCTGAAATATGTGAGGCTTTTGTCCAAGAGCCTGGTAGCCATGATGGCGACCCGCTAACATACACTGCAAGAGGACTGAAGTAAGCCGATGCTTAAAAAAAGGAAAACGCAAATCGACAAAGCAATAGTTCAGCAGAAAATTCGTTAATGTATATGAAGAAGAGTATACGAAGAAATTTCTGAGTAATAGTGAACATTGGGACGAACGCATCCCCAGGTGGGTACGACTACGAATGGCCGATGCCAGAATTAATTTGATGAGCCCGCGCATTTCATTCTATTGATTTGTTAACGCAAACGAATGCGCAATGATCTAGCGTTACACCTGTGAACACGTTCGTGAACAGCTTTCTACTTAGCCATCGGTCACTTTGAACAAACAAACCGCAAAAGTGCCGGTGTAGAGATAATGGTAGCAAAGGGACGATCTTAAATCGCATAACTCCACAAAACCATTGTCATAATGCATAGCACGAAGGAAATTTGATGTGTTGTGACACTCAAGCATCACAAGCCAAGAGAGGGCACGAGTATCGAGTGACAACGACGACGACGAGCGCCAGTTTGCGCGATGGAAAGAGATAAAAATTGCTCCACACTAAGCACTCCACTGTTTACGGTTTTATTCCTTTCTTTTAGCGACTCAGATAAATATTAGCGCAGAAGTCTCAAAAGAAACCGAGAACGTGAGTGCACTTAAAGTGACCAGCTATCGATGGAGTGCAATTACGCGAACGTTACGCAGTGTACTTTGATCAAGACTGCTAGCCAACCGGAAATGGAAATCTAGCCTGGCTGAATACCCCCCCCCCCCCCTCTTTCCGAGAATTTTCATTGAGTTGGGCTTATTCACGTCATCCTTCGGACTTGCTCACATACAGGAAACAAGAATATGCTCAACCATTTCTACCTTACAAAGGAAGGATACCAACATGAGTTGGCGGCTGAAGACGATAGTACGTTACCGCTGGTATTATTTGAAAAAACGACGCAAAGTCGCGTGATTCATGTGACATCACCCCAGCGTGGCCATATCTCGCTTCAGAGTGGGCAAATTCTTAATCCAAAAGCATTCCACTCAGCTCGGCGCGGCGCATATTCTGATATATAAAAGTGCCCGCTTGAACACAGTAAGAGGCCAGGTTCCACGAATCGTTTCAGATTTTTGCTTACGGTAGGTTGCCCAGTGAGTGCAATGAACGAGCACAATGAGTAACCTACCGCAAGCAAAAAAAAAACGATTCATGGAATCTGACCTCCTCCTGTGTCCAACCAAGATGCGCAGCGCCGAGCTAATTCGAATGGTGTCTCTGGATTAAAAATTCGTCCACTCTGAAGCAAGATATGGGCCACGCCACAGTGATGTCACATGAATCAGGCGACTTCGCGTCGATTTTTCAAAAAATGCGAGCGGTATTGTTTATCGCTAAAGACGTTCCTAAAAGTTGGTTCCAAATCCGCTTTCGTCTTTTGCGAAACAGCTCTCCGAAAGAAGTTTTAAGCGTTTGAATGTGCACACTTGTCAAGCACTGCGTGGCTTAAAATTAGCGAAAAGCTCTGAAAACACCTACGCGGGTTTCCACCGGCTTTGTTCCTTCCTTGCAGACAATATCTCGATACAAACTTGGTTACTCACTTTTGAATGTTTTTTGTAAATCTTTTCGCTAATTTTGGGCCACTTAAAGCTTGACAGTTTTGGATTCGAACGCTTATAACTTCCTTCGGAAAGTTGTTCCACAAAAAAGGAAACCAGATTTGGAATCAGCATTTAGAGCCGCTTTAGTTGATATGCATACTGTCTTCAATCGCCAACCTATATTGGCGTCTTTCCCTCATTAGCTAGGAAGAAAATCCGCTTCACTCTGAAAAAAAAAACCTCCACTGTCGGAAAAAAGAGGACCAAACCTGCTAGGATTTCCTTCTGAATTTGTGATACTAAACATGGGGCTGATACTAAATTTTCACACAAACATGCACACACAACGGTGAGGATGGCGCTTTTCGTGATTTTTTGTTCATTTCTAAAATCCATTTTTTCAGCTGACACCCATTACATCAAGAATGTCAGATTGAAATACGAGATCGAGCTTCTTACCTACTAATTATGCGCTGCTATCAGCGGGCACATCTAAAACTTATATCGGAAACTCAACTGAATGTTCAATTGCGCGATAGATGAAGAAAAACAAATGTTTGAGCGAAAAACGGGCAAGGATCAACCCTCTCAAACAATCAAACCCATTGTCGGTCTCTGAAGCAAAGGGATAATCGGGCAATCACGTCGAGGATTAGATGAAAATGGGCTAACGCAAACATCCTCACTGCGAATCCAAAAATCCAGTTGCACTCATTATTGCAAATTTTATCTCAGTGCTGAACTGTTTTAGAAGTCAAAAGGTTTAACTGGGAGAAAAGACGCGAATACAGATATTCTGAATAGTCGCGCGTCAACGCGCGACGTTCGCGTCTGAGTAGCAGTGGCAAAAAAAGAACAGAAAAGCCAAAGCATGTCCAAAGCCATAATGTAGAGGACAGCGAATGAAATCCAGAACCTCCTCCCATTAGTTGGGAAAATCAATAATGACTTTGCCCTCCATGCTTTCTCGACTTTAAAAGAAGAATGGTGTGAGTTAATCGCTGCTATGAATCATACTAGACAAGAACTCCTTTTTACTGGATTATTACGGATATAATGGCATGAACACGTCAAAATGCGGTGCAAAAGTTCCGCCTCCAATATTCAGAAGGTTTTCCGCTGTTTCAAAAACACAACAAGAAATAAAAGCAAATGAAGCATACATAAGTTAGCGTCTGTGGAGTTGTGCTTGACATACGACTCGCAAAACAGAGACCAAGTTGTCAGTTTCTTAGTTTGAACAGTTCACGAAAACTATTTTGAAAACTAAAAATGCACTTTTTGAGCAATGTCCAAATGTCAGGAGAAATTCACCAAATCTTTGCAAGTGCCTGAATTTATAAAACGTACTGCTGATCGCCGTTTTTCACATGCGCTACTCCTCACTCCTCTTCTATTCTCATCAAGAAGCAATACCAACCATATCTTGGAGATAATCCGATTACATGGCTCAGCATCTTCCCAAATGGACTCTTTTACAAACTCAGACAGTGTTCGTGTACATCACCTGATCCATTTTCAAAAAAGCTTCACTAACTCGATTTATAATGCCATCGCTGCCCTCTTTGGAAAATGAGATGTCCAATGGAGATCGTTCAAATCAAACACATGAAATGCACAAATGGATCTGAGAGAACTTAGTTCTCTACTTTTTTCATGCGAAATGCGGTGATCGCATGGTCATGAAATTAGAAAGGGATATAAGAAGAATGTAGATGCGCAGAGTACCCCTAATTAATCGTAAAGGAAGTTCTGCAAGATCTAATTGCTCAAAGATAGCAAAGAATTTGCAAATGCTCAGATGAACGGAGAAAGACACTACTGAGCGTTCGGCATGACTTGAATGGCTAAGAACTGATCAAACTGAGGAGCAGACATAAGATAATTTGCTATTAGCATTCAGTCCCACAAATGCTAGAAAAGACTTGCTACTAAGAAATGCGGAGAGTGAATAAGACAGTGAGTGACATATCAGGCTCATAGCAGATAACAAGGCAGTTCATGCACGTGAATTATCAGAAAATTAATACTCGTAATGATTTGAGTCAGAAAAATCGAACATGATCCAATCCGCAAAGCGAATAAAGAATATGGATATAAGACCGCGGAGACAAGACGCATCAACAGGCGCGACTGGGAAAACAGCAACTGGTTCAAGCTCTTTCAGCGGAGCGCCATTATCGCCAGCGTCCCAAAAAACTGTTGCTGCGTTACTCGCGTAATGCGCACAACACAAAGTGCGACAGCAAAAGTTTATGAGATGAAATAAACAGAAATGAAACCGACCTAAAGTCAGGTGGTATGTTGTTCTCTTCGACCGCGCTGATGTCTATATCCGATCGAGCAAATTTCATGAGTTCCTCCGCGGTGCTGGTGTGAAACACAACAGAAAACATGAACTTCTGCAACAAAAGATTTAAAAAGTGAAAAAATTCTACTTCATAATCCACCTTGGATGTAGCATCGCTCGAATCCGACCTACTGTACGACATGAGCAGTGTGACTTGACCGTCTAAGAGAACATCTCCCACATCTAGTTCGGACGAGAGTGATTTCGCTATTGTTAAAGACCTTTAAAAGAGGCGTCCAACGTGAGAAATTGCAGATTGTTTCGAAAACACATACCTTTTACAGCCTTCAGACTCCCAAACCTTAGATGAGTTAACATAAATTTCTATAATTGGTCGTACGCCGCTGCGAACACCCGCTAAAAGCGGAAGAGGACTGAATGAAATAGAACGCAGGGACATGGGACGACTTCTGGGCAGCTAAACGAATTGCATAAAGTGATATAGAAGCCGACAGACAGCGGCATACCAGTACTACAGAAGCTGCAGAAGTGAGATTCTTGATGAGATCCAATATATGAATCTGCGAAGGTGCGAATCGTTGAACGAGCCTACGTTTGTTTGAAACAAAATCGTAGGCATCATTGACATCACCAACTAATTTACAGTATACTAACAAAGCCGCAGAAACCATCACACAATGGCCTAGAACAGTACGTTTGACTCGGTAAATTACGGAGTAATAGCTTACTTTCTGCTCCATATAATACTACACAGGTGCCGGGACGATGACGAAGGGAGGTCACAATGGCCGAGCACACCTGAATACATATTTGAGAAAATGGGAAAAGAACTGTACCAATGCAGATGTGCTCATGATGGTTTCTATGAAAGTGAATGTAGACTGCAAGGAACACAAAAGCAGCAAAGCTTTCGTGAAAATGTTTAGTCTGCTGAGTCACCACTGTCATAATGAGTAAGTAAAGATAGCATATGAAACAGAAAGGTTTTGTAGAACCACGAGATCAATAGATAAAATGAAAAATAAAAACAAGCACGAAGAACGTGTTAATTGTAAAATACAAAACTTACCTTCAAAATATCATCAATAGGTGGATGCACCTGAGGTCGGATATTCCGCAGCGCACATGGCATCTGTTCGACACGATTATTGCTATGCATAGTCCTGAGCACGGGAATGTTTCTTAGAGACTTGAAGGTTGTAAGAACAAGCATAACATACCTTGCTGACAAATTATAAACTACATATGGCCTCCCGGTGGACGCTACCCTAGCATTCCATTCGTCTTCGTCAACCTGCTCTTGGGCGTGTCTTGCAACAGGAATAATGCACAGTCTGGATGTTATCCATGTGACCTCTTGAGGGGCCAACTTAGCCTGAAAAAAGACACCAAGTAGTATTGAGTAAATAGGAAAGAAACATACTTGGACTTTCTGAACCACAGCTGAAGACTTTTCCCTTAGATTTTTCAGCAGAGACAAACCTTGACCCTTGAGAGCTCCAAGCATCGCTGAAGCCTGCTCTGTCACTTCCTGAAAATTTGAAATGATGCCCGATGCACCAATTTACTGAAAACAAAACCAAAGCATTCGTGATAAAAACCCAACTGTAGTTCCAAACTCACAAATCAGGAAAACCTAACAAATCGCAATCCACTAACCTCAGCTACCGCTGATCGAGGGGGTGGTGGCCGCGGTGGAGCAGCATTCGATGCAGCCCCAGAAGATCGTCCCTGATTGACTACGTTTACGACAGATTGAGATACTTTATTAGTCTAACCGGTACTCGTTTGAGAAGTGGAGTGTCAACATTTATGACTGGCTTTGACAGATCAATGTTTAGAGCTACGGAGAGAGCTTCCGTCCTTTCAACGAGATCTTTGGCACCAGGACGTCTGACCGGGTCTGCCTTTAGACAAGATTCTGAAGAGCAAATAGTTACGGCAGCTCACGATTTAAAAGTAAGCATTTTGTGATGAGTAGATAAGATGAAACATGAGAAGGATTGTTAATGAGTCCCTGATGTGACAAAAACAAAGAAACTTAGTTATTAAATGCAGTTGCTGTCGAGACTATGGTATAAGTCAAGATCCTCAGAAACCCACGAAAATCTCTTATAATCTAAGAACACGGTTCATAAAGCCTTTATGTACCAGAGTTGTTCTTGTCTTCCGTATTTTCGAGGAATTTATAGAAAGGATGATATTTAGAATCCATCCACAGCCGAAAAGCAACATCTCGGAACACTCTAAAGTCACCTATAGGACGAGAGAACCAGTGAGTCCATCAGTTAAAAAATTTCCAAATAACCAATATGATGCAAGAAAGAAAAACGAGATGAAAAACATTAATGAAGACCAAAGGATCATCAAGCAACATGCAGAGTGCATGCTGATCTTCATTGAAAGGAAATGGCTACTCACCTATGACAGGTAGTATATCCCGACATTCTTCAGAACCTGATGGTATGGTGTAAGCTACATTAAGAATCCTTAACTTTGCTGAATCCTCGAAAGGATGGACATGATAGCAAAGGTAAAACAGTACGCAACCTAGTGCCTGAAGCATATGAGGGTGAATAAAAAAATACAGATAAGAAAACTCTAATAAATTTACCCAAATATCTTGCTGCGGACCGACAACATAATTTTGATACGTATCTAGAATTTCTGGAGCTCGGTACATAGGAGTTGTGTGCCTTTGCATCTAAAACTATACAGTATGGAAGAGCGCCGAGCTGTATGCGCATAGATATGCACCTCTTCTTCTAATTGTGTTCTTCTTGTTATGTTCCATGTATCATCAGGATGGAAAGTTTGTACGGTAGCACTACCAAAATCGCACAACTTAACTCGTCCAGTGGCATCGAACAACAAGTTTTCAATCTGAAAATGATCGGATAACCGCCAGAAGAAAAGAACTACAGACACACAACTCCGAATAGAGAACTAGTCACTCTCATTACCTTCATATCACGGTGAGTAATGGGCACTTTCCGCTCATGCATATGGCAAATGGCTCTAGCTGCTGCATAGAATATCCTCAGTGCTTGTTTCGGACTTATTCGAGAATTCTTCATTAAATCGGCGACGGAACCGCCTCAAAAGGTAAGCATACAGAATGCCGATGAAACAAAATTCGCAGGGATTCAAGATTTCCATTTCACATTAGATGATGACGGTCAACTGAGTGGAAAGAAAAGTAGGAGCAAATTTTGTATCACCGCTAATAACGAAAAAAAGATAAACAACAAAAAAGCAAGCACATATTTGTGACCCTAATCGCAACTCTGTTACAACCTTTTAATGCTTTTACCATACCTGGGCATAATTCGGTCAACAGTAGGAATTCGACACCTCCGGAAGGAATCTTCAACTGAGCAGCACCATGGAACTCTATTATTGAAGGGTGACCCGACAGCTGGAAAAGAGAGAATAGCGAAAGTCATACAAATTCTCAAACTAACTTCTTTCAATATTCGAATCTCTAACATAACGGCTTCCATCGCTTCCCGATCTTTTGTTAATTGCCTTTTTAGAGCATACCATTTGTGAGCACTATCATATGCAGCAAAAACCACAGCAAATCCACCTGAAAATACATGTTCATTAAGTAAGGATGAAACTGCAGCGAATTATAATTACCTTCTGCGATTAAACTATCTACTCGCAAACGTATAGAACCAACTTCCAGTTGAGTTCCAACCAGCGGATGTATTGGATTTGATGTACTTTCTCCTTGTATTAAATTTAGAGCTCCGCGAAACAGACCCGACATGCTGTATAGAGCTCTATCTGCGGGTTACACTACAATCCTAGAATATGCGTGCTGTCATTACGGCGCTAAAACTACAGATCTTTAACTTTATGAACTATTCGGGCATTGAACTTCATATGTAAAGCAGCTAGAAGATGATACAAATGAAAAACAGCTCAATATGGACCCAAAGCTACTAGACTTTCAACTATTGTCGAAGAAAGTCAAGTCAAAGAAGCCAAATGCAGCGAATGAAGTACTAATGGCTAGATTAGAAAGAACAAAGTATTACAGTCTTTCCAAGTAATCGATGATGCGAAGGGGAGCCATCTCTAAGTAGAGAGCAAGTATAGCCATTCGAGCAATTACATTACATTTTGAAAGACGGATTGAGGAATTCTGTAATGAGCGCATTGCACTATGAATGGAATACCGTAAAGCTTACAAGTGGAAGTGCATCATAATCGAGTGGAAGTTTGAACACTACTGCTGTATACACAGAATAAAATTTGCTACATTCGTTAATACTCTTCCGATAGGTTTCATTTGGGTGAGCACGCCTTTGCAATGTTTACTCAAGAAAAGTAATTCAGTTTCGACCATAATTTCACAAACAGGAATTGGAATGACGGAAATGCTCCTTCAGTTTCGTAAGAGCAATTCTATGAAAGCACAGGTGGCCTCTGTACTGCTACATTTGTACGACGTGGGAGTTTGATTCTGGAACGAAGCAGATGCTTCACGAAACCAAACGCAATTGCCCCGATTTGTACTAATTATGAACGCTGGGTGGAAATATTGATCCACGGGCAAGGTTCACACTTCACATATAGCGCAAAATAAAAGAATGGGGAAGAGTTCTCGGAATTATCTCCCGACGAAAAAGAATGAGAGGAAATTTGGGCAAAATGCGAGTGCGTTACGCAACGTTATCCTTTTACGCAAACAATTCAACGCAGAACAAGCTTTAGAGCGCGACACACATCGCTGAAAAAGGTCCGTAAATTGGAACCGCAGCTACCTATGAATCTTAGGAATCGCTCGATGTATCACAATCATCAAACATCGTAACCTCTAACACGGTGGTGTCTTGCCTATCGATCTTCTCTCTTTATCCCACTCGCTCGAAATGGCCAAGCGGCGTGCGGGAAAAGTCTAAGCGGCAGTCATTTCATTCTCGTCCGGATAAGTGCTAATTCTTGTTTCGCGAAGCAAACTAGAGAATTTCACTTGCTTATGGCAATCAGAGCACATTGAGATTCTGTGTCGCAAGAGTAGAAAGAAAAAAAGGAAACTTATGAGGAGAGAAAAGACGAGCAAGATTTGATATGGGTTCGCCAGATTAATCCGGCTGTCGCCAATGTTGCGCCATTCGTGGACAGCCATTGTCGCTAATCTCACCGCGACAGACGGACTAAAATAGCAAGTGTTCCGTTTGGATGCGGAAACAAGCATAGTCGGATGGAATTTGATTAGTGACGGGCAGCCGCACCAAAGGTACACGAAAGATATTAGAGAATCGGCGTAGCGTTCCGAACTCAGGCGTATGGGAAGTACAAGGAAGGCGGCACATGGAATTACGAATCTGTGGTCCTTATGCCCTCGACTTTGGGCAGCTTGAAGTGTCTCTTCACTGATTAATTACAAGTTTGAGATAATAATGGTGTCCTATCACTTCAATATATTATTTGGTAGCATATGACCAATCTTAAGCTTCAATAAGATATCATGAAGTACCGTAATCGACTCCATTATTCGCATTTCACGTCTACAAATTGGACACAAATAATGTTTCGTGATTAGACGTACACCTACAGCTGAATCAACGCACGCAGAGACAGGGCGCGTTACGGACGCTGTCGGCGTCTCCCTGATCAAGGGCTCTTTTGTCTCTCTTATTCTCTGCTGTCTCTTCCAAGTACAAACTATCCTAATCGAATGCAACGTCATCCATCTGCTTGTAAGGACTCGTGTGCTTATCACAACTCAACTGCTTCTCTCTGGGGTTTGCTAAAACACCTAATATCCACTTTTACAGCGATGAAGCTGTGTTCGAGTTCAAGGTGACTTCTAGGTTTGAGGGACAGAAAATCGGAAAAGTAACTATTTCCCTGTAAACTTCTTCTATGAAGATGTGCTCGTCACGGTCAACTGCTGCTGAACAGTCTTACGTAACTATTACTTTTTTTTCGTCTTCAATCAATTTGTAATTGTGCGTGATTATCAAAAGTATTATATTTTGAAGATCTGTGACTGAGGCACCTGCAAAACAGTACTGGGGAAACAACAAGTAACGATAAGAAGAAAACTCTCCAAATGTAGACAAACTCAACAAGAATTAAAACGAGCAACATAACAAAACAAACAACGATCTAATAGTCTTCAAAGTGATTAAGCCGCTCCAAGATAAGCTGGCCGTTTGCGCAACCGATTCCAAGATAAGCACTATGGGGCGAGAATTCAACGCATTCGACATTAGTCATCTGGAAACAACCATATTTAGAGGCGCAAGAAAATTATGAAATCGGAATAGAATTGTTAGCAATCACCTTCTCGTGCTTCTTAGGGAAATTGCTGAAAGTAGTGCCAGTAGCGACATGTAGCAATCTTACTTGATTTTGCTGAATATATAAATTGGACGATATCGGTGTAAGGTGATTTCAAACACACCTTTGCATTGCTGCTGAAGGCCATAATTTGTGAATCATGGTTAAAAGCAATGGAATCGCATGAAGTAACCAGATTCGACACGACCGTTCGCGGCTTGGGATTCTTATCTTTACGAACATCCATTACATCGTACACATTCACGATACCGGTGGTTGACCTAAGCATATATTTAAGACCAAAGCATATAAGATGCAAAGAAAACTTACCCGCAAGCAACTCTACTACCATCACCGCTTAGTCGTATCTTTGTCCCACGCACCCCTCCATCATCATGGAATACATGCTGGGACCCTTGCAGACTCCAAATGATGACTTCACTTCCTTCTATAAGATCGTACTTCGAGAAAATTGCTACTAAGTCTAATCCATTGACAACGACGCATTTTCCATGATTTTTTTAGCATGGATTTCCATTGTTTTGCGTCGTCACAAGCGCAACTTTTTGATCGATAGTGAATGTTGGCAACGAAGGCAAGGCTCTTAGAGATTTTCGACTGAAGAAGATCATCTTAAAGGGATTAGGAAAATATGAATACTGGAACAAAACATTGTTGTATGCCATAGATGGCCCACGCCGTCGTTAATGGGTTGACCACTCACAGCCTCATAGAATTGAAGACTTACCGCGAGTAATAAAGTAAACTGAATGACGATGTATGAGGAAACAAACCTGTCAAAGCCCACAGTTCACGATTAGAATCTGGCAAAAACTGCAACGATGTCACTTCCGCAGAGGCAGAGAGTGTTCTCACCAGTTCCATCGACTAACGAGAACATATATCTAACTCTGAAGCGAAAGAAAAACAGTCAAGGCAACTCACTGACGATGAAAAAACAAGTACTTGCGAGTTATGAGCAATCATAGCCACTAAAGAACCATCGTACGAAACGGCAAATCGACCAGCATTTTGACGAGGTATACCTAGAACAAGATGTCTCACGAATGCGTCAAAAGCAAAGATGCGACTCGATAAGAAAAAGCTCAAGTCTCACATTTAGGAAGGTTCAACTGCATGACCGATCCCTTCTCTAAATCATACTTCATAAAGTAGTCCTGAAAAAAATTGATAAAACTTTTATTGAGAATGGGGAAAACAAACCTGCCGCAATGAGCCGCAGAGTAGTGCACATCCATTGTTGATCATGCTCATGCTGGTCACAGGAAAATTGGAAAATTGCACGTTTTGTAAAAAATTCCCTCCATCCGATACATCTCCGACCTTAAAGAGACACGATAGATAATCGAAGGTTATGGAAAAAGATGAGTGAACAACCTTGAATAACTGCACTTTTCCGGAACTTCCTGTTGTCATTACAACTGGTCTGACATTGTGGAACAAAACCACATTGATTGGCCGCTAAAAGCATTATCTTGAGTGAAGGACATTAGATAAAGTGATCCTATACGTACATTATCATGATATCCTATTGTGACATCGGGCCAGCGGAACGAGGAAAGTATATCCTTGACAAGGAAGGGATCTTTGCCTATGTACTTCTTGACAGACCGAGTCATATCGTTGAAAACTTCGTTAACCTCATCCTCTGCTTCATCGCCCGTCCGTTTTTCCACCTCTAAACCAAGGGAACAAATGTATATATTATTTACATAGATAAAACCCACCTTTTTCAAGCCTTGCCCACTTAGGTGTACCATGCTGTCGTTGGAAGGCTTTTCTTAGGCGATTGCGATACTCCTAAAATTATAGCAAATCTACGAAAATAAAGGATCGAACAAAAAGTTACCTCTCCACTTAGCGAGCCTGTAGATAAAACAGCTTTTTGCGTATAGATGCTCAATCTGCTAGCATCCACTTCGTCATCTTCATCCTCATCGTGCCAGACGGACGTCCTTGGCACCTTAGTAAATGATGGGCATGAGCCAGTTGACGAAAAGTAAATCAATTTGTACAAGTATTACTCGTGGATGCTGGACCGTTAAAAGTTGAAGTAACATCTTTCCTCACTGATGGAGTATTTTGACGCATATAATGCATAGATGTGCCAGTTAGACTTATGCTTGAGTCACTTAGTCTAGGTATCAACTGGGTCTTCTTTTAGTAAGATTTTCGATGCCGTATGGCCTCAGGCTGTGCATCATCTACATCGGTAAGTGAACGAACCTTGGGAAGTTATGTCAGTAAAGGATTCAAAAGTGCATTATAAAGAGTATTTAGCAAACTCTTCTGAATTCTGGTAAAAGTAAAATAGAGAAGGAAAAAAGTCTCAGGATATGGTAATTGGAGATCAAAGAAAATGAATGAATCTGTTCGATCACTGTGTCTTCTTCGTCATCCGAGGACTCCTTTAGGTTGTCACGATTGTCTCCAAAGAGCTTCCTGGCTAGGCGATCCTCTTCCTCTTCATCAGGCAAGGTCTTTGACTGCAATGCAGATATTCCACGGCATACTGGAGAAAGGGAAAACTTCACACCTTTTCTTGCACTATTCGAGGACGCTTGGACTTTGGACTTGGCAGCGACATTGAAGATGCCGCCACTGCAATTTCTGTCTGAGAATTGAGTAAATAGGAAAGCAATACGTACTTATGATAGCGATCAATTCGTTTTGCTATTGGACATGCTCCAAAGACCAGTGCAAAATCCGCAGCGCATGACGATGCTAGTTGGAGCGCGTAATAACATAATTTGTGCAATCTCTCAGACACTCGCTGCGGCGGCGCGCGCGTCTTATGCGTGCGGCCCCTCATGTCGCCCGCCGCCGGCCGTCAAATGGCGCGCGCGCCGCAAGTAGATGGCACGCGCGCCGCGAGTAAATGGTACGCGCGCCGTGAGTAGATGGGACGCGCGCCATACGATAATGGCACGCCGCTCGCACGGTATGAAAATTGCCATTCGCATTTGAAGCACTGCGAATCACGGTGAATCTGTGGTAGACCTGATGACAACCTTCAATTTCAGGCAAACAATGGCTTCAATTTCAAATATGAACTTGAAGTTTCCAAAGTTTCCAAATTTTTGAAATTTGAAAATTCAAATTTCAAAAATTCAAAAATTCAAATTCCCAAATTTGAATTCAAACTCGGCACCTACTCGCGGTGCTTACGAGGACTGAGTCTCAATGGAAGAACTAGAAGAATCCCACTTGTGTTAATGAGACAACTCCATTGCGAAACAGCGATAACCTTAATGAATTGGCGATAAAGCACCCAAAACACTGCGTCGTACTTCACGCAGGTATCGCTTGTGCTTACAGCGTGTGAAAATGCGGAAGATATCATGGCACGCCACTCACTGATAGATTGCGCGCCGCTCGCACTCTCAACTAGGGCGCGCCGTTCGCAATACAGTGTTATAGTGGCGCGCGCGCCGCCGCGCTGAGTGTCGAATAAGCGCGCCGGCGACCGTAATAAGGCGCGCCGCTCGCCGGCTGCGAACGATGGCGCGCCGCTCGCACTGCAGCCTCAACTGTGGCGCGCCGCTCGCACGGCAGCCTCAAATAGGGCGCGCCGCTCGCACGGCAGCATCAAATAGAGCGCGCCGCTCGCACTGTAGCGCTATTATGGCGCGCCCGCCGCCGCAGCGAGTGTCTGAGTGGATAAGCGAAGTTTTGGCGTTTTATAGCTCGGCCTCTGCAAGCTCAGCTAATATTTTGCAAGTCACATATATCTCGAAATGTTCCGAGCTCGCTGTAAGAGTAGTGCGTTGCCTCCAAAATGCATCGTAGAATGATGTGCCCAGGGAAGCGGGGTTTGAAACAGAGGAACGAAACTGACACTAGTAAATAACTCAGTAAGCACAGAAGAATGACTTTCTAGCTGTCCATCACTTTGTTATTACAAAATTACCGACGAATGTCACAGTAAAAGTGGATTTGTCAGTTAATGTCCAACTTCATGACTCCATTAGAACATCAAAATTATTTTACTCGACTTGCACAACTAGGAATAGTTGATATTTTGAACACTACCAGTCTACCCTTATTCCACTAGAAAATTGAGCAAGGTATGATCTCCTCGACCGAATGATAATCTGACTCAAAGCCACCTTCGCGTACGCGCTCGTCCAAGGGAATTTTTGACGTGAGGCAGTTGGGAATGAAAAAAATATCGCTTGTTACACTCATTCAGAGCACAAAGTGTGAAACAAACTGATAATATACATTTTGGCTTTAGTTTCCATAGTGTTTCTGTCGAAGTTCTGCGTTGTTTTGAGCGTCTATCGTGTCTCAAATTAGCTTATCGCAAAGAAGTTACCGACTAATTCAAATCTTGCAGTGGGTGCTTGTGGAGACGTCGTTTCTGACGTATATATGCCACCGTCCATTACGTCTTCTAAGGATACCGATGAAGCGTGTTCGTAAGTTGAACTTTGTTTTTTTTTATTCAGATTCGTCAGTCGTTATTTACATTTCATAGTCGTGCTTTCTCCAGTGAACATACTTCGTCAAACTCAAATGATCATACAGTTACGTTGCCTCACAAATGTGAACTGGTGCAGTTAAGGCTGGGTTCATACTGATCCGTAAGTTCCGGAACAGTTCCACACAGCGCATAATCCGGGCGCTGTGCTGGAGCTGTTTCAGAACTTACAGATCGGTATGAGCCCAGCCTAACTCATAAAAATAGGCAGAAACGCATTTAATCACTACACCGTGTGGTTGCCTCGATCGGCTTCCATAAGAAATTCTAGGAACGCTAAGTTGAAATATATCACCTATAATGAATGCTGGATCTTTCCACTACAGGTCACATTTTAGGGATGTCTTCAAGTTGGATTCGACGGCTCTCAACAAACAACCCGAGGAAGTATTTGACATAGTTGGAAAACTAGGTGAAGGGTAAGGCGCAAATTCTTGCTTTTTAGTTTTCTTCTGAATTGGTTATTATTTATGCACAGTCGTCACCTTAACTAATTTTTGTCTGTCACATCTTACCTCTCAACTCTTCTCTCTTTAAGCTTAGTGCGACCTTTTTCGCTTGTTTATCTGACCAGTTATCTTTCCCTTTAGTTCATATGGATCAGTGCATAAGGCAGTTCACCGGGAGTCCGGCCACACTTTGGCTATCAAGAAAGTACCAGTTGACACGGATCTACAGGTGTAGTTCTCAACTTATTGCGCATTTCGTTCTTTTTGTGTTTCTTGTTTTCCAACAAACATTTATAAGCAGCTTTCTGGCAGACGCAATTCATATGTCATTTATTGAGATGATAATATCATTATATAAATATAAATTGATAGATATAGATATAGATAGATATAATATAGATATAAATGATATATCTCATTATTAATCTTGTTTCTATGTATATCATTTGTTTTTTATTGTTGTAAAGGGTTGAATATTTTGTTTTCAGGAAATCATCAAAGAAATAAGTATTATGCAGCAATGTGACAGCAAATATGTCGTGAAGTATTACGGGTCCTACTTCAAAAACTCCGATTTATGGGTGAGCAGCTTGAGTTTCGTGTTTTATCTTACGCCTTTACTAATTTTTTTTGCTGGCTACTCTGTGTTCTCTATCACAATCTTGTGATACACTATACTTGCATCTTGTAGGAATATGTTTAATGCAGACTGAACATTTATGTGGTCCATGATTGCACAGTTTTTAGATTGTCATGGAATACTGTGGCGCCGGCTCAGTATCTGATATAATGAGGCTGAGACGAAAAACTCTGACAGAACAAGAAATGAGTGCTGTTCTGAGAGACACCATCCAGGGTCTTCGTTACCTTCACGATCTGAAGAAGATTCATCGCGATATAAAGGCCGGAAACATTCTTCTGAACACTGAAGGTCAAGCGAAGCTAGCAGATTTCGGTGTAGCCGGCCAGCTGACGGTCAGTTAAAATAGTTGTTGCAGACTTTTCCCACACTTTTCACTGAGTTTAGGATACCATGGCCAAGCGGAATACTGTAATTGGCACACCTTTTTGGATGGCTCCGGAAGTCATTGAAGAAATAGGTTACGACACGAAAGCTGACATCTGGTCGCTAGGAATTACTGCCATTGAAATGGCTGAGGGTCGACCTCCGTATGCTGACATCCATCCAATGCGCGTACGTGAATTCGGAAACGTGAATGCGAGATGCGCAGATTGATAGTTTAGGCAATTTTCATGATTCCCACAAAACCTCCGCCAACCTTTAAAAAACCGGACGAATGGAGTCCGGAATTCAATGATTTTATTAAGCAATGCTTAGTCAAGAAACCGGATGACCGCAAGACGGCCTCTCAATTAGTTGAGGTTTGTTGATTTGGTATAATTATTAACACTTAAAGGTGCAATAATGGCGTAGGTGGGTAATAGGTCTATGCTGTTGTTCTATTCATATTATTATTTGCGAGAATTTGTGAGGGTGGTGTGTGTGTGTGTGTGTGTGTGTGTGTGTGTGTTGTGTGTGTGTTGTGTGTGTGTGTGTTGTGTGTGTGTGTGTGTGTGTGTGTGTGTGTGTGTGTGTGTGTGTGTGTGTGTGTGTGTGTGTGTGTGTGTGTGTGTGTGTGTGTGTGTGTGTGTGTGTGTGTGTGTGTGTGTGTGTGTGTGTGTGTGTGTGTGTGTGTGTGTGTGTGTGTGTGTGTGTGTGTGTGTGTGTGTGTGTGTGTGTGTGTGTGTGTGTGTGTGTGTGTGTGTGTGTGTGTGTGTGTGTGTGTGTGTGTGTGTGTGTGTGTGTGTGTGTGTGTGTGTGTGTGTGTGTGTGTGTGTGTGTGTGTGTGTGTGTGTGTGTGTGTGTGTGTGTGTGTGTGTGTGTGTGTGTGTGTGTGTGTGTGTGTGTGTGTGTGTGTGTGTGTGTGTGTGTGTGTGTGTGTGTGTGTGTGTGTGTGTGTGTGTGTGTGTGTGTGTGTGTGTGTGTGTGTGTGTGTGTGTGTGTGTGTGTGTGTGTGTGTGTGTGTGTGTGTGTGTGTGTGTGTGTGTGTGTGTGTGTGTGTGTGTGTGTGTGTGTGTGTGTGTGTGTGTGTGTGTGTGTGTGTGTGTGTGTGTGTGTGTGTGTGTGTGTGTGTGTGTGTGTGTGTGTGTGTGTGTGTGTGTGTGTGTGTGTGTGTGTGTGTGTGTGTGTGTGTGTGTGTGTGTGTGTGTGTGTGTGTGTGTGTGTGTGTGTGTGTGTGTGTGTGTGTGTGTGTGTGTGTGTGTGTGTGTGTGTGTGTGTGTGTGTGTGTGTGTGTGTGTGTGTGTGTGTGTGTGTGTGTGTGTGTGTGTGTGTGTGTGTGTGTGTGTGTGTGTGTGTGTGTGTGTGTGTGTGTGTGTGTGTGTGTGTGTGTGTGTGTGTGTGTGTGTGTGTGTGTGTGAGTCCATTATCGTTGCTATGAATCTATCTTTTGTATTGCATGTTTTGATAAATTCCCTTTGTTTTGCTGTTTTTTTTAGAGAAGTGATAATCGCTCTCTTCACTTTTCGAGTACTAATCACCCTATTTTATTTTAACTATAGCATCCATTCAGCATAGCTTCATCGTCAACGCTCCAGGACCCGAAGTTCTTCAAGCGATTATAAGAGATGCCAGTGAGATACAGCTGAATAATAAGGTTCATAATCTACGAGATTTTCTGTCTTGCACTGAACTACTACTGCCATATTTCCTTCTAGACTTTGGTGCGAGAAAGTCGCTAATATTCATTGTCCTCATCATTCAGAATGCACCACCAGCAGAACCAGAAGCTGCAACTATCATCGGGACGCAGATGGATGGAAAAACGCTACTGACTGGAAACAACGATCAAACTTTGGTCGAAAATCCTGCCGCAGCTGGTAACTTTTCTTCTCTTCTTCCTCTTATTCTTTTGCCTAAAGGCAATTCATGAGAATCTACTTGTTAAACTTATTTCTTATTAGACCAGTTCCTGACCGCTTTGAGTCTCAAGTCTCAGATGGAATCTCTTCGTATTGGTGGACAAATCCCAGGGTCAGTATTAGGTGCTCCACCACCATATCAGAAAGCTGGTTCACTAGTTGAAAAGCCCGAGTACCAGATGACAACTACGGATACACCAGTTGGAGAGTCTGGATCGTCAACAAACTCGAGTATATGTAGGTTTTTACTCAAGTCATAAAGCATTTTGATGAAGATATCACATTATCTCATAGCCTAGTAGTTAACAGAATCTTTGCAGTAAATACTGAAGCCGAGTATGAAAATCGCTTCCACAAGTCCATGGCTGATGGCGACTACGAATTTGTAAGTGTTGTATTCTTTTGCTAAGAAATCGAAGGCTGTGAATGGTTTTATCTATAGCTGAGGGAGCTCTCATTGGATGAGTTACTGCGACGGAAAAACAATCTTGAAGCGGAAATGGATGAAGAGTTGCGGGAGTTGCAGAGGAGGTAATTTCCTTGTCCTTGTCACACTTCCGCAAAAGAATCACTAGTTTTGTGTTAATCTAGGGCATCACATTTCATGATTGCCAAAATGCTATTGCAGGTATCAAACGAAACGTCAACCAATATTGGATGTGATTGCCGTGAAAAAGAATAGAAATGCGAACTAACAGTCACTGGTCACTTGAAGAGGTGTTAAAGAAAAAGGAACCTTGCATTTTCTGAGTACTTTGTCATGCTAATTGCTTATCAAGTCAGGGAAAAGAATGCCATTGCACCTTATTCTTGGATGACTACTAATAATGAAACTTCGCATCATCTATTTGTTGCTAAGCGATATTTTGAACATTTCGAAGATGGGTTACGTTTGTATAGATTTCAACTGCATATATTATGTACGCTACATGAATGCCCTAATGATAAATACATATCTTTAACAAGCTAAACAAATGACGATTTGCTCCAATTGCTGTTATTGATATCTTTCTTAAATTGATACACAAGAAGTTAGCTGCTCAGCAAACCCTACATGTTTCCTTCTAACCAACCCAGTTCAAATTTTAGCTAGGGGGGAGGGGGGGGGGGGGGGGGGGAAGCACCATTTTGCTGCTTCAAATGGAGTGTGCAGAAGTGCATTTCTGCGCAACTTATTGAAAGCTGCTGTGTACAGGATCGTGCATGCGGGAGCTTTGAGCTTTGTTTTGAGGAACTACAAGGAGCTACTTTAATTGACAATTTCGTTTGGGAGTCTTAAAAGAGATTGCTCTTCTGCATGGCTGCTGCATTAAGATTGCTTTCGGGTTGCTGTTCGATTGGAACCCGCGTCGACGAGCCCCGTTGGTGCGAACATCTGCCAAAATCCATGCACCACTGCAAGTTACAGTCCTCACCCGTTGTCATAATACCTTGCGTAGGCGAAAGGCACGTGGGTAGTGAGAACGGTGCAAAAATGCGAGCAGTGTAGTCTCGCTGATTTTTACGGAATCTTACTTGTGGCATTAATGTGACTCGTGTATCTGCCGCCCTCCCCCCCCCCCCCTTTTTTTTCAAGAGTCACAAGATCGGGGACTTTTGTCTTTCGAGGCTTACCTAGTTACAAGGTACCAGAAGGGGTCAGGATAAATTTGCTTGAGTCATAGCATGGCAAAGTTCCCTCGCGGTTGGGTCAGTCTACGTAGATGTAAGAAACAGCAAATTATGGAGCTTATAACACCACTTGTTCCGATTTCTAGTACCAGCTTCATTTTTGGCGACTAAACAGACAAATCGTACTGTGGTTTTCTTCTACTGCTGTCATCTCCACACTGCACGGATAATGGTAGAATTTTTTGAGGACCTTTCATAAGAAAGCGATGCGCCTTACTGACAGTTTTCGTTCCTCATCTCGCATAAAATTGAAAAGACAGACCCATAAGGATATTAGTCACTAAAAAAATTCCTGTTTCTGTATTGTTTCTTAAATTTTGTCGGTAGCTTCTATTTCAATTAGCTCTGTAAATACTTCTTCAATTATACAATCTGTTAGAGCTATCAAAAATTGCAGTCATTCTAACTTTCTGCATAAAATTAGTAGATTGGCAAAATACGTGAGGTTTCTGCTATGTCTCTTGTCTCCATGCATCCTCTAAATTTTAAAAACGTCCTAGTTCCACTAGCATATTTTGTACTATCGCAGAAGTTCGGAGCGATAAATATACGACTTTTGAAAAAAAATTCTGAGCTCGAGTATATCAAGACAACACCAATGAATAATGTTCTTATTTGAAGTTTGCTGGGGCTTTTTACAATCTCTTTTTTTCCAAATTAAAACAAATATATGAATCAAAAGCGCCCGTGCATCTCCAGATACGATGATAATTTGTCATAACCGCAACATAAGGTACTTCGTAGCACTGAACTAATCACATTTTTCTATTTCCTCAGACAAAAATTTTAAGGTCAGCACAAAATCTTAGGATGCTTATACGGCAAACGGCACCTTTATTTAAATGTTTTCGAGACATTCTACCGACTTTTCGCACAGATACAGCCTTCTGTCGAGCACCACCAGTCCCGCAACCTCCACTGTGGGCGAACCAGCCTCTGCTGGGGAGCGTTCGCGCCACAACGGTGAGGAGCAGGACCGTGATAGTTCACGTCGTATATCCTCCTTCCGATCACACGGGCCTGTATACCGCTGGTCCGAACTCCGAGTCTGAAGGCCCTCATGTGATACGGCGTATAGTTTACAAGATCGTCACCAACAATTCTCTAACCCACTGACAAGTTTTGACATGTTAGTATAGGCCGCATGAGGAAGTAGGTATTACGTGTTCATACATGACTTGTACAAACGCGCACGTGTGCTGCAGATAGAAAAGTACTCAGATCACAACAAAAGATGGTCATAACACAAATTTGCATTGCGTCCCCCCTTCCCCCTCGATATTACGATAAAAACGCTCAACCCCCCCCCCCCCCCTCTACCTAGTTTGCCGCCATGTCACCTTAGCACCGAACATGAGTGACACAAAATCGGGGATTGTCGCCTACCGTGAAAAACCTGTGCCTACTCGAGCAGATTCTTTCTGAATTCCTTTGGTATCTTGATCATCAAAGACATATTTTGCATAATGTGTTTTTTTTTGGTTGGGATCAAACACTTACATGACCCCATCTGAAATTCTACAAGGAGATCTCAAACTCTTAAGGCGTCTATTGTACAAAAATAAAATGTCTGAATGTCATGCCGCATTTTGAAAACTTTTAGAAAAACTTCTGTTAAGCAACTTCGAAAGTAAATTTGTGTTGTTAACCACATGGTAACGAACACATAGACATGCATGATGAAGAAAAAATTTATTTTCACTCGTTAAGCAGAAATTTTATCATATTGTCGAGCCGTCGATCGCACGAACAACCGTCATTACGGAGCACGCGACGCGCCGATGAAAAGTCAAGAGAGCACAGTGTGTGCAATAGTGATGTACGAACGATACAGACGTTCAACCATCGCCTCGCATACTCCGCACTGACGATCAGTTCGTTCGATTGATGACTCGACGGTACCCAATTTTTTTTTTCACAAAATGATTCATCAATACAAAATGCAATCCAGGTGAACACGTCTTGAAATCGGCTAACAATGCAAAGCAGGCAGTCCATTGCGGACTCAGCCGCGGCACGGCAGTAATCGATAACTTACAACACACATAGTCTCTGCATCCTAAAACGAAGGATTCGTGCAAAATAAGCCACACCACGACTGAGCAGATGATTTTAATGGGTTGCTAAGACTTGACAGAGCTGTTCGAAGACTAGCACTATTCGTCAAGTTCAGTGCTTGTTCTGATTCAGTGGCATAAACCGCAATTCAGGTACTATGTATGCGGCGCGTTGGTGACTGAGCAACTTCCATCAGATATCCAAGGCCTTTTTCCTGGGAGACTTCTCCAGATGGCAAATTTCCTGCGTTTGATTCCTTCTCGGACAGAATATGATTGAAAACCTTGGATTGTCCTCGCTAGTTGTGAACCCGTAGGATAGGGAAAGCGAATTTCCTCACAGCAAAGTAACCGTGTTGTCTTGAATATGTTCGCTCAATTCAGGCGGAAGCGCATCTTCTGTATATGGTTGCTGAGAACAGAAACGAACATGGAGATTGGCTCCCTGCGTTTTATCGTCTTGTGCAACTTTAACGGATCTCCGCGGTGGTTTGAAAGTTATGGGTTGAGCCCGCCAAGAGTCGTCCGTTGATGGTCTGTAAGATAAATTGAGTATACTCAAAACTTATGGGGCAGAGGATGGGGGGGGGAGGCGACAATACGAGGAAAACGCAAGCAAACACACCGCTCACCAGTATCTCGTGTCGAGACCTATACACGCCAATATAGGCCTAAGGCATACCTCACGCGATTCGACCGAATCGCGTGAGGTATGCCTTAGGCCTTAGGCCTTAGGCGCATAGAACGACCGCCATCGCAGTATGGACATGCTCGCGCGATCTCAGTCGCAACGCGCTTTGGCGTTTTGCCAAATATCTTCAAGTCTACATAGCAAGCATACCATGTAGATTGATGAAATGCCCATATTCTGTGTACTCATAGTGCGTTACGATAAATTACACACATCTGAAGCATGGAAAAATCACGCAGTGACTGAAATCGCGCGAAGTTTGTCCGGCTAGGCGCGGCCTCCAGGGACAACTGGTCCTCACACGGCATACGATAGCTTGTGTAAAACAACCGCAGTCTACGGGAAGGCGCCTATTGGCAAAATTCGTTCTTCACTTTTCTAGGCGCGAAACTTGGGATTTTCGCCTTCCTGTCCCCCACCCCTCGCCCCCAAAAATCTTTTCCAGACGCTTACCCATTGTTGCTACCACCATCACCCTTACTTCCTGATGACGGCCGTCGTAAAAGCAGTCCTGTGCTTGGCTCCTCGGGTGTAGTTTGGCTGAAAATTTTGCTTTTTACAATGCAAAGGCTGATTGTAGGAGGAAACAGTACTTGTTGCTGCAGTAGTATGTGCTTCTTGTGTTGGTACTTGGTCGCGATCCATGTATCTCTCGCGTTGCTCTGGAAAACAAGGAATTTTTCTGAAAGAAATTCTAGGCCATTCTTTCATCTCTCTAACCATCTGCTGGCTCACCCAAACACGTACTATATCAGTCGGACGCAATTGCGCCCACTCCCTAAGCGCGACTTGCCTACATATCTAATTTCAAAATGGTTATCAGCGCGACATTGCAACTTGTCTCAGTCAGCAACATTATGAATTTTACGAATAATTTCTTCTCAAGTGGCATTACTTATGCCGTACCTCTGATGGCAGAATCCAAAAACTAGGCTTCCGAAAAATATAAAGAATTCACAGGATTCTCTAAGAAGCATGCCTACCCTCTTTCTGGAAACTCTATTGTTCCCTCCGCGCTCTCAACTCACAATATCCTAATACAAAAAGTTAGAACAGTTGTAATGGAACAAACGTCCAGAAATGATTACCCACATCTTTTTACATGGTCAAGCCGAAAAGAGAAACTAAGAAAATGTCTTGAAGTGGGTGACGTTCAGACACACAAGTCGTGGAATACCGCGCGTGGTGTGTGATGTACAGACTAAGTTGAAAATGCAGTGTACCAAGCCAGAAAATACACAACCAAATCAAAAAAGCGTTAGCAAGCAAGAATTTGGTTTTTACCACCAATCTTTTTTTTGCGTTTATTGTATTATCAGTTTGCGGTTTTGGGGATTGAATGTACTTCCAGTTTGTGAAATATCCGAAATTTTCTAAGATACTTCCCGCATTTGTGGTTTCACACGAAAACCGTTCTCTTCAAAGCTATCGAGTCCTTAAGAAATTCTGAAAATTGTTTCAAGCACTGTGAAAACAAGTTACTGGCATAGTTTTGTAACCCATGTAGGCTACTTCATTAGCAAATAAAAACCAAAATTACCTGTTTGTGTACAAGAACATCGACTTGAAGGCAATTCGAAAGTTTTCTGTTCCGTAGGCGTATAGAAGTGGATTTAAAGCACAGTTAACATAAGGAAATAGATGAATAATATTGACTACGATTCGTTCAAGCTGTGACGTGATACGGACCCGAAGTATTGACGAGAACAAGTTGAACAACCAGAATGGTGTCCTAAAGCAGACGTTTCATATTTTCATTAGGTTTTCCTGCTGACTGTTTTTCCACTAACAATATGTGCGTAGAAAAAAGAAAATGGAGCGCAAAAGCCGAAAAATTTTATCTCCTTTTTACGCGCAAATGTTGTCATCACCGTTGCGGAAGTTTACTAAATCTGCCAATTGACATACCATGATATAAATTTCGTGCTTATGTGGCTTACGGGCTAGTAGATCTGAAGATAAAGTAGTGCTCTTGCGGTGCCGATATCTGTCGCTAACTTTTACATGTGAAGAATGCGCGCAAATGAACACAGAACGCACATCAGCAATTTGTTCACGCACAAATGTTGTCGGCAAATGTCGTCTCCAGGGCACTACATTTACCGCAGATCGTCAGATGTTTAGTGGTCAACGCTAGAGTATTATTACGTGCTAGTAAAGATACACAAGTACCTATATGCTTTCATGGAAGTTACGGTAGGTATACAGTACCGACTTACCAGCAAAGGAGATGAAAAAGCACGACCCGCTGAACACTGCGCGTCACCCGCTGATAAGGTGCTCGGGTTGTAGTGGAACGTTGCAATCGCCTTGAGCCCTAAAATAGTGCCTAGTATTCATGAAAGCAAAAAAAAATTACAAGTTATTTCTCACCTTTGCTGCCTCCCGTAGCTTACAGAATACCTGATAATAGCAATAGAATATAACTAGTACAGGTATTATAAATATCAGAACAGAACACGTAGTAATGTACCTGAAATCTACTGATCTTCTAGACTGAGTTTAATATGTTATTTGATCTGGAGTGGGAATGAATGCTACATGCTGCGCAAGTAGTATCCACTTGACTATTATTTAATATTTTCCTATTATTGTAAAGCCGCGTTTATAAAAAGGTGGTTTTGAATCAAACGTATGAACGAATCATGGATACTGGTAGTACTGTAAGGTTACTGTATAGAAAGTCATCGATGTTCCGTCGGTTTTGTAGGGTTACGAATGAATCATCAATGTCTTGTAGATACTGTAAATTATGGTATGGAGTCTCTGTTCACAACACTGTTCCCCAGAACTTCGAAATATCGATTGACACATTCACATTTGAACTCCGGCAACCCTCCCACAGAAGAAGTACAAATCATTGCTCAAAAAAGGGAAAAATGGACACCGATAAATTTCCGAGCTGCAATTTTTTCATATAAAAATTTTCTTCTCACCATTGAGCTGCCGGCGTGCTTGGCCAGTGAACCAAACAAAATGTTTTGTTAAGATATTCTCCATTGCTTGAATTTCGCTGCCGAACACCGAATGTTGCCTAAATCGAATTTCTTTCAAACTGTAGCACATGCGAGTTTTCCACATCTGGCTGTCCCGTAAATGGACTTATATAAAGAGGCTTAATGAACTTTAGCTGATAAATTGCCTAAGCGGCACTTCGCAAGATGTATTCATGACTGAGAAATTCCTCTTAACTCCACCACCATACTTTATACCGCACTGGACGCCGACTGGTCCGCTATTACGGTCTGGGCTGGATTTTAGAACTAAATCTCTCGGCTATGATTGAATTATGTGTATTGCCACTTGAGCCTCATCGTAATCCACAAAAAAAAAACTCTTTACCAGATTATACAGACACTGCCTTTCAGGCCTCTCAGAAAACAACAAAATTTGGGAAGAAAATTAAAAAGAGAAAAATAAAGGTCGATTAGGCTAAAATAGTGATGCTAGTGATCGAGAAATTGGAATTTTGCTTTTGACAGAAAATTTGATGATGAACCTGCTCGCATATCAAGATTTACCTCTTTAGCGTAAAGATACAATGGAAGACTGCAAGCAATGGCGGTTATCCATGCGAACGAACTGAGAATCAATGCTACTCGGTAGTTCCTGGAAAATCATTGATTAGTCCGAGACAGGGTTCGGCACAGGTGGCTTGTAAGCAAGCTGGATGCCGTTTTTGGGACGAAAAGCAAAGGGGGTTTCGTTTTAGTGACCGAAGAGAGACGCAAATTGGCGACGTTTTTTTAGTCGACGTTTCGTTTTTTGGGGGATTTTGGGGAATTTTTCAGGTTTTTAAAGGAAATTTGGTTGAGGGTCAAAGGGGACTTCGTAAAAATTCCCAAAAGTCAAGGGGGACTCCGTTTTATCCATTTTCATCTAGCCACCTCGTGCCGAGCCCTGGTCCGAGATTCGAAATTATTCGTTCTATTCAAACCTGAATCTAGAGCTGACATCGCTCTTGCACATTGCTAGATATCTATCGGCAGCTAATAAGACGACAAACAACACCGACGCATATTTCCCTGGAATGAGGAAAATAAGTATAGCTAGCTAATAATTAGACAAACATCATAATGACATATACAATAAAAGAAGAACTTGAACAAGTAACATTCTTCAGTTGGCGTAAGGAGTTGGCGTATTTCTGTACAGACGCCCTCATTTTGAAAGTCAAATGAAAGAAAAGCTATCAAAAACGTTGAGTTGCAAAAATAGTCTATATCGGAAATTTTGCAGTGACAGGTGTTTTTCAATAAAATATCAGAAAGCAATAGCAATCTTGTCATGACCCGAATTATGTTTTTCACCGATTGTACTTACAGTTCAGTTTTCAAGTAGATATAGTGCCATTGCGGTGAGGACAAATTTGTGCGAAAACAAAACCATGCTTGTGTATGCCAACAACTTGCATTTGTCTGCGTGTAAAGAATGACCGTAGAGCACACAATGTTGTTGTTCACGCACAAAGTTGTCGACAACGCAAGGACACTACGTACCGCCAAATCTACCTAGGCTATACTATACCTACTGTTACCTATCTTGTACTTGCATTGTTATATCTGCTAGATTAAGAAATCATCAACTCATACTACAACCGAGAAATAGAATAATGCAAGTTCGTATTGTTCTCTTCCATTCTTATGTTTGTATTCATACATTCTCATCGTGATAAATAGCACTAAAATTTACTACTGCTAGCTATGTTTACTAACATAAGTTTACTACTGCTAGCTATGTTTAACATACAGCAGTCCTGCTTCGCAGTAGATTTAAAAAGTGGTGCAATCACACAAAACTGTCGAAATGGAGACGGCTGGATGTTATTCTTGGGTAAAGTACATTTTCTCCATCTTATGCTCGTAACAATCAAAGGAAATCAAAATTTCATGAGCTTCTTGAATTTAATAATAATTCTCGATGCTCAGCCAAAGAAAAAACACTTTCTCACAAATTTTCCCATTCTTGATGCTCAACCAGGGTAAAAACACTAACAGTTGCCAAATGTACAAAAAGAATGAACAACTGGTTTGTGACTTTCTGATAAGAAATGACTAGAAAATTTCAATGAGTTGAGTCACCCAATAATGGCAATGTACTTCCTTGAAAGGCCTCGAATTGTGCCGAGGCAATGTTAAGAATATTATGATATTACGCCTCACCTGTGGTTTCGGTGCCATGGTAGAAATGACACAAGCCTGAGCCAAATGGCCAACTTTTGAGGTTGAGCGATGTGGCAGCAACAAGTGACAAATCGGTGAGGTAAATAAAGTCGGCTAGGCACAAACCAATCATGTAGACATTCGTTATAGACCGTAAATAACTGAAAAGGGAATTTTTGATCTACTGGTTCACATCTTTAAAGGCAGCGTCCAGGCAGATCTGGACCTATGGGGCTTTACGTCGAAAGTACTTTTGGGGCCCTAACTAAGGCACTGCCCAAGCGGCAGCTCAGGTAGTGCTGTAGTGGCTGAGATATTCCCCTCGAAACTGGACCCCGCGACCGTGTTTCCCATGGATTCATGGCGCAAAGCGTGGATCCTGGCGCGAAACTGCCATGAATCCATGCGAATACGTTCGCGGGGCCAGTTTCGAGGGGAATATCTCAGCCATTAAAGCACTACCTGAGCTGCCGCTTGGGCAGTGCCTTAGTTAGGGCCCCAAAAGTACTTTTCACGTAAAAGCCCCGTAGGTCCAGATCTGCCTGGACGCTGCCTTTAACCCATTGACGATGTGGAGCACTGATGGCCCACACCTGTTGCAAAGTCATAACCTTTGTAGGTCTAGTATCTCTTCCTTTAATTTTTTTCCCAATTTTTTGCACGCTTGGGACCTGTAGGCTTTGTCGTCAAAAAAAATGTACATAGTCGTTTGCAAAACAACCTTGCATTTCGTAAATAACCGCAAAACCTTCCCACGCCGAAAGTGTTGTGCAAAATCGCGTCGCACGGCGCCGCCACACCAAATTAGGCGTCACCATCAATGGGTAAGAGTCAGGAGGATAAAATCAACATAAAACTCACGGTCTTGATAATATAAGAAAAATGACGAGCACATTGAGTGATCCGAGAGCGACGAGAAGCAAATGAGTGACGGTAAGCGCTAGACGCAGATGTTGCGAAGAATCCGACATCTCATGCTGAAGTAAAAATAGAAAGTAAAAAAATTCATTTCATCTCACAAGCGATAAACTAGCGTCAGTTGTGGATGGTATATCATAGAAAAGTTTGTAGAAAATAGAGAACGTTGGAAATGTTTTTACCTGCATTATGATAGCTAAATTGCTTCGCTGTAACTTTTATAATAGCAGTTATGAGGAGAATTTGTTTGAATGTAATCGACAATGAGTCGTATGAGGTAAAGGAAATCGAAAAAAGACAGAAGAATTGAAAAAAAAACATTCACATTTCTCAAGAAAAGAAAAAGCTATATAAATTTCCGTGAGAAATAACCAATTTTTTTCGTGTGAGAATGTCTATAAAATCAACATTCAAGAAGTCAATTTTTCATTCCTTTGTTACAGACGACAGAACATTCAATTATAAGGATGCAATGTTAGATTACATCCTACCAAGATATAAATATTTTGGGTTGTAACATGAAATTTGTCACATTCGAAGGAAAAAAACCTTCATAAATTTCTGAAAAGACTCTCCCTCTCAGTTTAGTGAAAGGTTGTAGTTTTTTGATATATACGTGTTACACACCGAAATCAAATTTTTTGATTTTTGAGAATTTTTCGAATTATTTTTGAATTTCCACTTTGAGTTATTGAAGAACCCGAACTTCCAAACTGCCTTCTAATAAATGCTATGTTCCCTGAAATCTACGACGAATCTAAGACCTCAAAAATAAGTATAGAAAACTTTTATATGAAAAAGAACAAAAATGGAGGTGACGAATCTAAGACCTCAAAAATAAGTATAGAAAACTTTTATATGAAAAAGAACAAAAATGGAGGTGACGAATCTAAAACCTCAAAAATAAGTATAGAAAACTTTTATATGAAAAAGAACAAAAATGGAGGTTGAAGTGCCGCACAAAACTGCTTTTATATTAGCCTTAACCCACACATGGAAGGTGGAAATGATGTTAATGAATGTGAATATTAATGCCCATTACTTGTATGTGCTAAATATCCTGTTTAAATTTCTCGAGTCTTCAAAAAGAACATGAAAAAGTGTAACAAATTATATTATGAACTTACAGCATAGAATTATTTCACTAATATTGCAATCAAAAAAAAACTGTAGCAAATAAAATATAACCGTAGGCAATGTCTATGAATGTCTTTCTTCGAAAACAAATCGTAGGATAGATGAAATGAGATTTTGATCGCCTAAATTGTTTGCATAGTCAGTGGAATTAGCCCGAAGTGGCTTGGGTAACCACTCAGCGTTGGATACGCAAAGTTGAGTAAGCGGATTTTGAATCTTCAATGGAATTAAATTTTGAGTGACGAGAGTGACGATGTTTATAGTAAGCTGAAAAATGTCGTTGTAGAATTGTTAGAGATCCTGTAGCTATGTAAATACACCTACTTTCTCAGATTTACCAAATGCTGCATGTCCGAAATTTGTTTCAACTCTAACTCAAAATCCAGAGTGTTTAGCTCCGTAAGTTCTTCGTTTGCAGTTGGTTACAAGATTACTTTCAGTAGTCACTTTAAAAGTAAAGTTGGGTATATTAGTGGTACTAAGCAAAGTTTTTTGTAATATAAAACACAATGATGTTATATACATCAGAACATAAGTATCTAAATGCAAAAACGTTCACAAATTTATTTTATAATTAAATATGCATGATTAATTCACCCATAGCCACTCGCACAGTAGGTGCAATCCATGAGCACTGAACATACAATAGACCTATGCTGCATGAATTTGTTATGTATGGTTTATGATGTAAACTATTTTACTTATTATAGTTTTATTCCATGTAAAATCGAAGGTAAAATATGAAAATCATGACCAATCGTGGAAACATGTAACATGCAAATATTCTTGTTTTTTGGAAAGAGTGAGTTACAAACTAAAATCAAAACTGAGATCAGTTTAATATGGACCTACACTCCAAGTGGTCAGAATTTTGAATAGAAGCGACTTGAGTATTTTCATTTACCGGTTTGTATCGTCAGCTATGCCAATGGTAAATTTTTGCAAAAATTTGATTTTTTTTTGAAAATTCAAGAAGCTGCAAAAAAAATTGGTAAAGAAAAGGAAAGAAAATTGCCAAAGTTCGTGTATTCTTGCACTAAGTGGGTGCAAGAATAATGAGCATTTTGCGAGCTCTCAATTTGACGTACTACATCTTTCTCAAAAATTTGGATTACTCAATACTACAAAGACCATCACAAGCAGCAAACCTTCCGCAATACAGCACACATTTACCTTGACTAATATCGAACGGATAGAAAAATATGGTTTGAAAAACAAAAAAGTTTTCTAGTGAAACCTCGTTTTTGACAAATCATAACCCTCTTTGAAGTTTGTCAGTATGAATGGCAAATAGCCTATCTTATAGCCGCAAGCCAAAGTACAAATGAAGATGGAAAGGGCTTGGAATTGCAAGAAGAAAAAAAACCAAAAGCAAAATTGTATCCTTCTTAACATTTTCAGTCGCCTCATAGTCTCAGATTATGGAGTCATTCGATTTGCGTTCTGAACAGCTAAACATTTTTGCAAACAAAAATTGTCAAAAGATTTCAATAGTGTGCTTGCTACATGTGTGTAAAGGAAGAAAGTTTGATGAAAAAAGTTGTTCTGAAACAAGGCCTGAAAAAAAAAACGCTCTTTATTTTTGCATCAACTTACTAAAAAGTGCGGATTTCCCTTTTCAAATTCTGTCAAAACATACAAATTCATCTGAAAGGGATCATGAATTTTTCGAATTTTGGTGCAAGAATGATGGAACAACCTCATAATGCAGATCACTGAGGACAATATCTCAAAACTATCAAGAATTTACTATCGCAGCTCCGTAATATATGTAATGTTTTTGTTTTGCTTATGTTACTATTGATTTACCTACGCGTTACCACTTACTACCAGTCATGATTTCATTACGACAATTATTGCAAATCAGAACAATAGAAGCAAGGAAAGAAAATGACATCGTAGTTTGACTAGTGAGTTACTGGCTTATAATGCGCTAATTTTGTCGAAAATTTCTTATACATGGTTGTATTAGGCAGTCCCAAAAGTAGATAACTTTCCAAGCGTTTTTTGCCCTCTTTTGTCACAACCTATTTTCTTCTCAGTTAAGGCTTGTAACAGCATGACGTTACTATGAAACAAAATAACATTACGAATTCTCGAAAAGCTCAGATATGATGAAAGCGAAATCAAACTCATGAACTTTTTCCGCAACCTCTCCAAAAAAATTTTTGTCGTGAAATACTCAATGCTTATCGCATTATATCATGTAATACACTAGGATTTTTTTAATCTTGAACCCTACAAAGAAAATTATTACATTCTCAGAGAGAAAGGAAACAAAGATGCAAGAAATAAGGAAGAACGTAGTGTAAGCAAAAAGAAGAGATTAAACCTACTCATATGCTATCATGAATGATCTACCAATAACAGATACTGCAGTGCGAACAGCTAGAATCGAGGAGATATTTAAAGAAAAAGCCTAAAATCTACAACCTTTCAAAAATCATTTTGTGATTCATTAGGCCCTCTTTTCTTAGTAAGAGATCCAGGAGAGGAAAATCGAAACCAGGCTAAGGCAACGGACGGAACGGAAGTTTGAAGTGATATCAAGTTTATATTATACAGAGCAAGCTACCTCCGCACATTGCTAGAAGGGAAAGAACAGTTCTGAGAAAGATAGTTTTAAAATGGCTTTATCTCGAGAACCAAATAATAAACTACGAAGATGTAATTTCTGAAAAATTCTTCAAGGAACAGAGTTCTAGAAGTATCTGAGTTTGGAAGCACTGAGAATGTTCTGGAATTCCAAAGTATGTCCAAAGACAATGGCGCACGGGAAAAGTGGCCGTGAAAAACGGGGCAAACAAGGCTGCAGCAGCAGTGGAGAACACTACTTATAACATTCGTTTCTCATTCTCTTTCAAGCACACACATAAAATCAAATCAAAGCAGTCCGATTGCATGCGGACGGCATCGAATTGCTAAAAAAGCGAAAATCGTTTGATGAGGCTCAACGGAGCGCGTCAATGTAGGTGTAGTGATTGGCTTCATTCGTTAGAACTCTTCTGTGTGCTGGCACGACCGACTGGGCAATTGGCCGAATAAAGAAGCATAGCGTTGCTCTTACTTTAACTATTCTCTAAGAAAGAGATCTTATTTGCAAAACTATATTTGTTACTTTTCCTTGAACCGCACCCGTTCTTTCAAAAAAGGATATTGTTTCTTCCCTTGTACCAAATTTGGTAAAAAATTCAAAGAAAGTCAACCTCCTGTCACGTGTCAAAAAAATTGACATGTCATCTACATGTTCAAAAGATTTTAGCAAGAGTTAGTTTAACTTACCTATCAGTGTGAGTACATTCTGTTCTTTATTCCATATATTGACACCATTTGCTTATAAGATGTTTTAGCGAACGTTTAGAACTGTTTTACTCCTATAAAAAACAACTTTCGAGTCATTTTAAATTCTTTAATACTTCACTGAAAATGATTTTGAAAAAACATGTCAAATTGGACCCAAACGATTGATTTTTTTCCTGGCAAGTTACAAGGAAAGAGTCCTCACAAGATCTATAAGGAAAATTCTCTAACCTGAGGCACGTATTTCATGACAATATTCTGAGAAAATGGATCCGTATAACGGAATAGTACCCTGAATTTTGACATACTTCTTAACCGTCTCTAAAAAGTCCTCACAAGAGCGAGAAGAAAGCAGATAACAAAATATTTTCTAACAAGTTCTGTCATAGTTAATTTCAAAAACTTATCACATCCTTATAATTTTTTTATCCACTTTCAGATTGTGTGGGAGATCGTAACTCTTCGATTTTTACATGCCACACATAAGAAACTCAATTTTACTTCAAATTTTCTCGAATATTTTGGCAAATTTCCAAAGTGCAGAAAGCTCAAATTTTCAAGCTTTCTTCGTATTAGCAGCAATGCCTTCAGTGCTCATAAAAATTTTTCAAAAAAATGAGAG